TTTGTAAATAAGTATAAGACCTAAATCGAAATGACAACAACGAAAACAATTGTCGCGGCTGGAACCAATTGCCAGTCTTTAGGTTAACTGCTTGAACCTTATTTAGTCATTTATAGTATTTTGGCGCGCCTGTTCCAATGAAAATAGTCCAATACGTAATTATTTTCATATACAAGATGCGCGCTATATTTGATATTTTCCAAAACTGGGCACCAGGCAAATATGTTTAAATAAATCCATTTGCTGGGCCCAAGTTATTCAGTTCAAATCATTTTTGAAAAACACAAGACTATGATTCAGTTTGGTTTTTGATGAGACTCTGGTTCGTAGTAAAAGTAAATGTAATTAAATTTGCAGTTTAATTAAATTTAATTATTAATAATATTTTATGAAAAAAAGAATTTATACTTTTATTTTAAAACAATATTAAAAGTAAGAAATGCAGCTTAAGGAAACGTTATGATAAAAATGGCTTTGAAATCGATTCAAATGTGACAATTTCACGACAGTTTTAATATTAAAACGAATTTATTATGGATTTCAGAACTTGAACAGTCACGTTTCAGCACTTCCCCAGCTTGTGCCCATTTCGACTGCATTTTTAATCTTCCAACTTAGGTTTTGATCAATTGTCACGAGCAAATAACAACAAAATAAAATACAATAAAATAAAGTAAGAAAACAAATCGTAACGAATCGAAGCAGAGACACGATTCATTTAATGAACTTCAATAATGCAATGCAGAGACTCACAGAGCGTGAGTCCGGGTGCGAGTGCGATTGCGAGTGCCTTAATCAATCGCTCAAATTTCAATCTTGACCCAGTGGCCATGTGTCCGACCTGAAGACCCCCCCCCTCACACTCAGATCGGATGGGGTCTGGGCAATGGAAACGCCCTTATGTTGTGGCTGCGGCAATTCCATTTCACATTGATTGCTCACATTTCCCGCCCAGTCGATGACAATCTTTGAACGAATTTAACACTTTTGGTTTTAATTTGTGTTTGTTTCTGTCGTGTTTTGTTGCTATTTGTTCCCTTTTTCCCTCTCAGCAATTTGTTAATTTCTTTATTGGTTTTTATTGTCATTGTTGCCCGTGTTTCTTTCCTATTTCTTCTGCTGGGAAAGTGGAAACTTATTGTGTTGTCTTTAGATTCTTATTGTTACATTAACTTGATTGTCTTTGGCGATAATAAGGTGAGGGCTAACGCGGGGCCGGGTGTGTGCGGCTAGACACATGAGTGGTATCAGTGAAAGCGTCGACTGGTTAGTGATTTTGGGGATTGGTGTTGCTGCGACTAATAACTCGATGGATTTGAAGTTGAAGTGTGCCTGATGACATTTGCTATCCCGCTGTACTCCCCGCTTTTTGTAGTTTGTTTCTTTTTTGTGTTGTTGTTCAACTTTCGCCATGATTTATTGGCCAGCATTTTCGGTCATTGCGACATTAATCTCTGTGACTCTCTGAAATAAATAAATATTATTTAAATGTTTATCTTTGCTTATCTTCAATATCGAAAGGTTAATAACCCAAGCCAACCCAACCAACCCGTAGCTGCCACAGCCGCAGCCTCAGCTAAAACCATGCAACTTTGTTGCTGCCATCTGCCAGCGCTCCTCATTTGGCATCGCGTGCCGCCACATGCTGCACTGGTGAGTCTGTCTCCAGTTGGAGTCAGCTGCCAGCAGCCAGCAGTCAGCGCAGCCGGCGGGAGGCGGCCCTGGCATGCCAATTTTAAACCCTTGCTCCTTATAAGCATACTTGTATATGTACGTGTTTGTGCTATCCGCCTTTTATAGCCGGAGCGCGCGAAACATTTGCTCGTTGACTGCCTGCCAGCCGCCTGGTCAAGGTTAACTATGCGATCCAATGAGCTGCGTTCCGATTGGCAAATAACCTCCAGAGTCGTCTGTCAATGTCAACGTTGGACTCGCCGCGTGCATAGAGATGAGCCCCAATACCCAGCATAACTGAGCAGCATTTTAATCTGTGGATCAGCATTGATCAGCTCATAAGACGCCAAACAGAGCTAACAAATCAAATGAATATATTTCAGAAAAGGTCTTACAGCTAATATTTAACAGAGATAAGTGTCTAGACTCTTGGGAACTTAAAGTAGTTAAAAATGTAATGTTACAAAATTACTTGCGAAACGCAAAATTAGCTTGTGGTTTTTGTGCATTTGTTAGGCAACGTTTATTTCAATAGCAAATTTATATTGTGAAATATTAAAAAATATAATATGTATAAATAATTTTTAAAAAGTATGAAGATTGTGCAACATTGACAAAATATGTCTGCCATTGTTAAGAATACTATACTTTGTATAATTAATTGATTAATGTCTAACTGTTGACAAATATTGCAAGAATGCGTGCAACTCTCTTTAAAGACGTTGACTGAGTTTTAAATGAGCTGCAGCTTGTTTTTTTTTTAAAGACCTCAAGAAAGTGATTATTATCGCTGTTCTCTGACTGTCTCCGAACATAATTTATTTACCATTTAATTATTGTTTGTGCCGCTCACCTGTCATTAGCTCTTTATATAAATGGCGCTAATCGCAACTTTCCTGCCCAGACGCAAACGATTTGCCACTCGCATGCGCCCATTTAATCAGCAAAGTATTTAAAAAAAAAACTGGCACAGAGCAGATCACTTGTAAAATCAATTTCCCGCTGGCAGGTTTGTTGCGCAAGCGCCGCAGCAGCTGCAAGAAAACAAATTGATAATAAAAAAAGCGAACTAAATAAATTTCAAAAGTAATTTGGTTTTGGCCCGGCCTAGTTGAATCCCTCGGGCATTTTAGTTTGGTGCTTTAGGCCCGCTGCTTGACAAGCTGCCACCCACATTTTTAGCCACAGCAATGCGCATGCATTATGCATGACACAGTGGCAGTTGCCCAAACGTTGCAACATTCGCCACTCAATTAACTTGCTCACGTGTGTGGCGGGCGGGCGGCATTTTCCTGACCATTTTCTTGATTAGTTTTTGTGCAACCGCAAAAATGCTTTTCTTTCGGGGGCCACACCCACACGCACCGAGTGAAAGTTGTGTGACAAAAAATTCTACAAATGCCACTTAAATAGTTTTCTGTGGTTGTTGTTGTGTTTTTTAACTAAATGCGTGCGAGTTACCTTCAAAAATTGAGTGAAAATTGCCGAAGCCAGCCAGATATTGCCAAATTTCACTGATCAATGCAAACGAGACAAATTTAAATTCGCTACACATTATACAAAATATAAAAAAAAAATAAACAAAAAAAGACAAAGCCTGTGCTCAACTGGCAGATACCCTTGACAAATAAAGAATACAAAAAGCTTGTTATCTTCAAATGTGCTTAAAATACGCTTCATTTGGAATATTATTAAAAATCCAGAAGTGGTTTTCATTCGATAAAAACCTTCTGGTAGCTGCCCCAACTGCCTATCTATGTCCACGTTTGTCGAGTACAGGGTATACGAAATAAAAGTCAAATGAAGAAGACCCAAACACGTAAAGCTTGTGGCCCAAATAGTATGTTATTGAGGACTGATGTTGATCATGATCATGATAACAACCTGTAACTGTGCTCCATTATGTAATTGGTTTTTGAATTTGTGCAGCTTATGCAAATTTGCATGTTTGAGGCCAGCTTTAAACTTGGTCTATTTGCCGTTTTTTGAATGCTTTGAATTCAATTTGTTTGCCGAGTTGACGAGTTTGTTGCTGTTGTTTTGGTTTTGTGGGCGTGATTGGTAACGTCTTTTGATGTTACGTATTTTGTTTTATTTTTTATTTTTTCCTTTTATTTTTATTGTTGTTATTTTTGTTGCGTGCGAAAAAGTAAAAAGTGGAGCACATTTTGTTGTTTTGCCTCTCTATTGACAAATTGTATTGAATGGCATTGCAAATTGCCGCAGCATAACTCGAGCATTATGTCACCGGGGTTTGAGGAAGTTGCACAGCTTGACGACTTCCATATTTGCGGCAGCTACTGTAAATGACTTATTTCGTTTGCTAACGTTTAGCATAATATTGAATCTAAATAGTTCGCAGTAGCTACTTATTGGAGCCAGTCTCTTTATGGCATTTGATAGCTTTGTATTACCTATTAAAAATGGGCTGAGAAGAGTATAATAAAGCAGACAGAAGAAGGCATTCCACTTTTAATATCTCTCTCTCTCTCTCTATCTATCTCTCTCTCTCTATTTCTATCTCTATATTTACCTGTCTCTATCTCTATCTATATTGCTAGCAGGACAACGAAATGATTCAAGAATACTTATATATTTGTTTAAGACTCTGTTTTCATTTATTCAAATGCATATCGCCTGTCTCTGCGATTTTCAAAAACTCAGGTAATGCTTACAGATTTACATTCTTTTGGTGATAATGCGGGAGTGCGTGAGTTCAATAGAGAAAGAGTAATCCCATTAATTAAGAGAGAGAGTGTAGTATTGACAGAAAATAAAGAGAGGAATGTATAGAGACGGAGAGAAATAGAGAGAGCTAGCAAACGAGTGCGATTTTTATAAATTCCAATACATTATAATGTTGATGATATAGCTGGGTGCAGGCTAACATTTCATGACTTCCTTGTCGGATAATTATTGTTTAAATAGATCACTTTTAGTTGTTAAAGCATTTGGCAAATTGCTTAAATTATGGCAGCTAATTGAAAAGCTATATTGCGATCTTTATCCACACACTACTTGAAAGCCCGCTATCTTAATCTTACATATAATTCAATTAAATTCCATTAATGCGACTGTGTTGCGTATACGCCACGTTGTTGCCACTCGCATGCTGTGACGCAGTTGCTGCTCTAATAAAATACAAAACTCAATTAATTTTTTGTGCAGCGCAGATTTCTTGATTTGCTGATTTGCACACGCAACTCAGTTTCTCTTTGCTGGCTCAATGTCAATTTTTAAAATTAACAAAAAATGTCTTTTCAAATATTTTGGTGTGAGAAGCAAACAACTAATCCGCCTCATGTGTCATCTTATTTCATTTGCAGGATCAGTACGATAATCTTTCAATACATACAAACAAAGGCATTGAAGTGCTCGATAAATATGCCAATTTTTTACGCGATCGAGTGGTCATAGAAACGGAATATGCCGGCAAATTAAGGTGAGTACACTAAAATATATAAATCTAGAATTAACTAGTTGATTTAAGTAGGAGAAAAGATTACTTCAAGTAAGATAATAAGCATAATAAGGACAGACTCAGACTTAGCCGGAATATACTTGAGATAATATAAACATTTGTAGCCTAAACTCAACACCTCATTTGTTGAGATCTTATTAAAAAATGTAAAATAATTGTAATTACAAATGCTTTTAAAGCCTCCCAAAAATGTGTAAATCATGTGGCGCCACTTAATGCCTATATTTGTACGTCAATTAAATGATTTTTTGTACGGTTTGCTGGCAAAGGCCTCGCCCGTTTGCGGGTCTGTCAAGACAAAAAAGAAATAAACAACAACAACAAGTAAATAACAAACAATTCCTTACAAAAAACAAGACACATTAAACTGAACGCGAGTGCAATTCTCATAAATATAAAGTTTTTTTTTTCATATATATAAATTGAAATATGAAATAAGCACAAGGTCAGCCAGTTCTAGAGATTGTGCTCCGGTGCATTGTGTCCAATGGCCATTCCTGGGCAGCAGCTGAGCTGCACTGACTGATGGCGCGGTGGGAGGGGAGACGGGTTATATATATATATAATAAATAACTAATTATATGCTTTGTGGCCAGCGCAGAGAGCGTTCATAAAGATAAATATGTATATGCACGCCTGCCTTTTGCGCCGCACTTCAATTAATGCCCTTTTACAAGCGACAACATGGGCTCAATTTCGAGAATGTTGCGCCGCACCTCGTGTATGGGCGGGCTGTGTGTAGGGAGCGGGCATGTAGGGTGTGCGCATTGGTACCCACCCCATTAATATGCGCGCATGGCTGTGTCCAGCTTGGCAGCTAAATTGCGCAATAGACTGACAACTGAATAAACAAGAGATGACCGCGACCTGCCCCACGCAACTGACACGCGACTAAGAGTAAAGCGCGCGGTGGAGAGGTGTGGGGTGTAGCTGATAATGCTGTCCATTAAATATGATTGAGCTTGGGCAACGCCGAGCCCCGACTGTATGTACTTGCAACTGGGCGTCATAATTGTATAATTTGCTTGAAGATTCAAACCGCCGACGTCGCCGCCGCTGCTGCTGCTGCTGCGTCTGCTGCTTTGGGCCAAGTTGTTGGAGCACTTGGGAACGCTGGCTCGCAACGTGGCTATCGTTAGCTGCCGCTTCTTTTCAAAACTGTATTTCTCAATGCGGTGGCGTCTGTTCCCACAATTTGAATGCCGCAAAATGAGTCGAGAGTTGGCTTGATGACTGACTGAACTGAACCAAGCTGAGCTGAACCGGCTGAACTGTGCCTGATATGCCTGCAGCTACTGTACGGTCTGAGCCCTTTGTAATGACATTATCATTGCGACGCGGCGTTGGCGGCGTCTCTTCCCAGGCGCCCAAGTAGACCACAAATGCGGCCGCATTGAATGAAAAACACACTGTATATTAAATAAATAAATATATATATATATATAAATACATATATCCATATTGTAGTTAGTGAAATCTGAAATCTGTGGCCGGGTAGACTGAAATTTGAAGAGTGCTTCGCGTGTCCCGCAATGCCGAAATGAAAAGTCTCGTGTTAATGCAAATGTTTTAACTTGGTGCTGTTGTTATTATTATTGTAATAATAGTTATACATAGTGGTTGTTATTGTTATTTCTTTCTATGCATAAACAAAGTTTCACTAATGCCATGCTCTTTTGATTTTCTTTTTACAGGCGCTTAGTGAAAAATTATCAGCCCAAAAAGAAGGAGGAGGAAGACAATGAGTAAGCACAAAAAATATAAAAATTAAATATAGTTGTAAGCAACAACAATGTGTATAGAAAAAGAGAAGTAAGACAGCTGTTAATTGCAACCGCTCAGCGTTGAGTATACCCTGTAACTGAAATCTGCGTGAATAGTGGGGCAAACTTGATTTCTGTGAGCGGGTTTTTTCCATTCCAGAAATGGAATCCAAACTTTTATACTTCTTACATGCTGCTCTATGAAAATGACTATGCCCTTTGCTACGCTTTGTGCAGGGTATTCCCAAATTGTTGATGGTTTTCTTTAATACGATTGCGCAAAAGTTTGTTAAATCTTTTGGAAAATTATCCATAATTTGAACGATTTGCTGTTTGGCATACATGTTAGCAACGTGTTAAGTGTTAATTTTGGCCAACGCTAGCGATGACTCTCATATAACCAATTGCGTGTCTGTGGCATTTCATTTGTGAGAGAGACTCGTATGGGAAGCATGATTGTAGCCACTTTAGGTTCCACATTTTCCATGTGTGGTCTGAGAATATTGTGCGGCCTGCCACTCAGTTTTAATTACATTCATTCCATACAATTTGCGGCCGCCTGACATCATGGCTCGCAAATAGCTCGGCGCAAATCTTTGCTGGTATTTGTAATATGACAATGAAGCCGTTGCGTCCAAGTTGAAGAGTTGGTAATGAAATGCCAGGCAGCTCTCTCGATCGCTTGACGTTTCGCCTTATACAGTTGTAAAATCCATATATTTATTCATGATTGCCGCTCGGCCTGGAACTATACCATATGCGGATTGACAGACTGGCGGACAGACTGTCAGACAGACTGTGGCGACGACAGCGTCGCGTGGGTGTTCAGTGCGCGTCACAAAGCGCGTGTCCAATAAGAGGGCCATAAATCGCCATAGCCAGTGCTTGGGTCTTGGTCTTGGTCTTGGTGCTTAGACATTGGACAGACATTGGAAGTAGTTTGTAGCCCAAGGCGCGAAAAGGCGTGGGTCGACTGTAAACCCAGTTAACTAACTGATTGCCTGGCTTGCTATTTACAGATTTACATCGAGGCAAGCGTTCCGCAATCTGCTCAAGGAGGTGGGCGATTTGGCGGGGCAGCGTGAGGTGGTGTCCGAGAGCCTGCAGCAACAGATAATCCAGGGTGTGACGTTGCTATCGAAAACACTGCGAGAGGAACGCAAGGTAATGTCTATTGAACTTTGCTCATTTATATATGTTGTTAATCATACTCTCATCTCTCATCTTTCTATAGAAATGCCTTAACGATGGCACAATGCTGCAACAGGCCCTCAGCGCACAGCTCTCGTCATTGGAGCGCGCCAAGCGAAACTATGACAAGGCCTATCGGGATTCGGAGAAGGCTGTTGAGAATTACAAGAAGGCTGACATGGATTTCAATCTGAGTCGCGCCGAAGTGGAGCGTTACAAGAACATTATGACGTCCAAAATACAGCAGTCGGATGATGCAAAGAACGAATACGCCAATCAGCTGCAGAAGACAAACAATCTCCAACAGCAACACTATGGTATACTATTGCCCGCCGTTTTCAATCGGCTGCAGGAGCTGGACGAGAAGCGTACGCGTGGCATACGCGAGTTCATTATTGGTGCCGCGGACGTTGAGTCCTCGGTGGCACCTATAATTGCGCGCTGCATGGAAGGCATTGTCAAGGCCGGCGAATCCATCAACGAGACGGAAGACTCGTTAAAAGTCATCGAGAGGTTTGCTTAAAAAACTCGATTTACTTCTGTTCGGGCATAACTAAACGTTTTCATCATTTCAGATATCAATCGGGCTTCACACCACCAACGGACATACCATTTGAGGATCTGTCAAAGATGGACCCCAGCGCAGTGCCGCAATCCAACTACAGCAGTGTTCCCTACAATCACTTAACCATTAAGAGCGGCACGCTAACCGCCGCCAAGCTAAAGAAGGCCCGTGGCGGCATCTTGAACAGCATCTTTGGCAGCAACAAGGTGAGAGCAGTCGTTGGCGATTTCCGCTTCTGGTTCAGGTTTACAATTTAGCTGCAAGCTCTTCAAGCCGTTTTATTTTATTTCTTTCTAAGTGATCCTCTGTTATGTTCATGTCTCTATCCTATCTCTATCATTGCCTGGCACACACTGTCTCTCTATCTCTCTCTCACTCTTTCGCTGTGTCTGTTTGTTGCGAGAGATTCCACCAGTCAGCACAACCATTGAATCTTGTGTTTCAGATGCTTCTTGATTAGTTCTAAGTTAATTGTTAAGTCGTAGGATTTGTGTCTTCTACTTATAGTTTTACTCATGCCGTCTCTATTTTTCTGTTCTTATTTCATTTATCGAAAACAAAAACAAAAATCGTTATGCCATTTCTTTAATTTATGTCACGAAACTTATGGACGTTGGTTTCACCTTGCTGTAAGTACCAAGTGTCCAGCTGCCTGTCCAACCTACCCCAGGCAGCTCAGCGCCGTTTCGTTTCGTGTCCTCCCATCTCATGTCTTACATGTCGACTAAACCAAACAATGATTGTTGCAGTCTTTCATATACTATATATATATACCATAATGAACACCTTATGAACATACATTTAACAATTGCATACGAATTTGTATATTTTATGTCTCTGTTTGACAATGATTAAAACAAATTTTACATTAGTTATGCAACAATTGGCTGCCTACGCTTTTCACTCGCTTTTCCATTATTATTGAAAATTCGCCACAGACACAACCACAATGAACAGTTCACAAATATTAATTGTATTTAACTCTTTAATTTCTTTTATGCATATTTGTTGCTTTCATACAATTTTCTAACACAAAAAACATGCTTTTACTTACACATACATACACACCCACACCCACACTCGGAAAAACTAAAACGAAAATAAAATGTGATACGTTTTCAATGTAAACAAAATAAATGTTAAATAAATCAATAATGAATCAATTCGCTGCCAATAGCAACGGCAGATAATTGAAGCTTGTATCACGATGAAGGTATGATGTAAATTCCAGCTCTTCTAACTAACTAACTGCTCTTAACACCAATTACTAATAAGCATTTAATTACTAATCACAACTGCTTAACATTATCAACAAACACTAGCAAATTTATTTAGCCTCTTCATTGAGTCACATCACTTTGAACCCCTAACCTTAAGAATAACATTTTAATTAAAACTTATTAAACGAAATATAAATATTAATATTATATGCGATTCTCAAACATTAATTAAATAATTGGTTAGTTAGCAACATGCCACAGCAGCACACTCACACACTGCAGAAAATATAATTAACTTTTGTTTAAATTTATTAATAATTTATTGCAAATTCAAGCATGTTTTTTGTTCTAATTTTATTTTGCGACATGCTGTTTGAATATTCTGACATTGTTTTTACTAATTATTTTCTATTCATTATATTTCTTGAAATTCTATTCAATTTCCGTTAAGGTGTCTATTTATTTTGTATACCCTCTTTATGTAAACAACTGGCGTCTGCTAAACGTTGTGAATGTGTTTGTTAAAATTGTTGTTCCGTCATTTCTGTCTTGTATAGTACTCATTGCACTTCTACATACCATATATATAACACATATATATGCATATGTATATGTATGCATAGATTTTATTGAGCCCAACAACTAATGCTTTTTAAATTCATATCTAGAATTCATTAACTGCGGACGGCCAAAAGGAGGACTTTAGCGATCTGCCACCGAATCAGCAGCGCAAAAAACTGCAGGCGAAAATTGCCGAGCTGCAGCATAAGGTCGATCAGGAGACGAACACACGTGATGGCCTGATGAAAATGAAAATCGTTTATGAGGCGAACTCATCGCTGGGCAATCCGATGACTGTTGAGGGACAACTGAACGAATCCGAACATGAATTGGAAAAACTGAAAGTGAATTTGAAAAAATATCAAGGCTTTTTGGACAAGGCTAATCAGCTGCAGGTGGCCAACAATAGTCCGCAATCGAATCGTAATCAATTGCAAAACGGACACCGAACATCCAGGTGAGTACATCAATAAGCCACCCAGCTAATGATGCCCATTTAACGTGACATTTCTCAATGTTTTCTTTTGCAGACATTCCAATGGCAGCGCCAGCGCTGATGATCATCATGATGGCGATGATCAGCCCGATGATGCTGGCAGCTTAAGCAGGTCAGATTCTGAGGATAATGTGGCGCAAATTCAAAATGGGCATAATAATAACAATAACGGGTACACTCATAAGTCTACGTTCAATGTTTATATATTCACTCAGCTACACATTAATACATACACACACACACACACAGTCACACACTTACAAATTCATACATTATTGTATGTTGTATATTCGCTTATGATTTGGCTCGTTCACTTACTCAGTTTTGTATGATTTCCATTGTACATGGTTTTGTTTCAATTTATTTTGGTGGCATTTTATGGTGTTGGTTCCGTTTGTTCATATTTTGCACGTATGATTTGTCATCAGCGAAACTTTTAAGTGCCCACTAAAAAAGAAAATCCACAGTATGCCAAAGAAACAAAATTTATATTTATTCATCTAATTTGTATTCAATTATCTAAATTACTTTTAGTTCTTATTGAATTTTAATTGCTTACATCATACATATAACACGTAATAATGTCCGAATCGCAACTTCTTCAAATATTTCGTTTCATTTTGCCTTTCCATGGTGAAATCCAGCAGTTCGGCAAGTCCCGAAAGCGGCCTAGGCACCTCGCACACGTCATTGCCCGGCTCCGGACAGGGCAGCGCCAATGAAAATGCCGCTGGCGAGGAGACGACCTACGAAACCGAGGTGGAACTGCTACAGCCTCTAGGCACATGTCGAGCGCTGTATCCCTTTGAAGGTAAGTCCTCAAATGTGTTAATTTAGTAACTTTTCTTATCTAATTAACTTGTCTATCTTGCCTCCCATCAGCTACTAGCGAAGGCAGCATACCCATGAACGAGGGCGAGGAGCTGCAAGTGATTGAAAATGATCAGGGTGATGGCTGGACACGTGTGCGGCGAGCGAACAACTCGAATGGCTGGGACGAGGGCTTTGTGCCCACGAGTTACATTGAGTGCACACTCTTTGCTTAGATTCGTTCTAGTAGGGAGGAGGCAGGCAGTTTAAAATGTTAACTACTTAACAGCATTTGCATATGTTTCATACATTTGTGTACTTTTGTCATAACTTTGCGTTATTCTGGACAGCCATAAAACATGAATACCATACCAATTATCACACATACACATTTAACGCACAACCATGTACATTCGTTTTAAGATAAGCTAAAAATTTTCTTTTCTATACACAGTGTTTGTATATTTACCTTGATTTAAAATTGCATTGATTATAAAGTAGAGAACACATATTATATAAAATACGGTCACTAATATATATATATCTATATATATATATATATATAACAAAAAAATATACATATGTGCACCCCACGAAAAGACCTCACCTAATGTAAGCAAACGTAATGAAACGTTTCCCTTTTCACAACAGAACTACAAGTATAACAATCATGTATTAACTATTTATATACACATATATATAAAATGTAATTTATATGGCACACACATTTTCCACATTCGTCATGAAAAATAAGCTGGTAAACATATTGATTGAAAGCATTAAATTTGAAACGCACCTAGCAATATGCTTACTAGATTTATTTTTTATAATCACATTTCATATATAATGGCACCTGCTACTTTTCGAGCTGACCAAGAAAAGCAACAGTAATTGTGGCTATTAGATAAAAAAGAATACACTAAAACGCACCTTCAATCATTGATATATCTATAAAGAAATGCATTAATATAGGAGAGAAAAGCTTCCATTGATCACATATGAAGAAAGTCTCCTCCTTAACGATTTACTTATAGCAAAAGTTATGACAATTTTGCATTATGCATGAGGCATATGCGAATTGGAAAGCAAAGAGCGAGCTAGCTTGTTATATATGGAATAGCAACAATTGTACATTTTACTTTACGCATTATGCATAAAACAAAAAACAAAAACATAATTATAATTTTATACCTAAATAATTTTTGTATTGCTTTTGCCTTGTACATTTTCACACATACACACCCACACCCATACCCACATAAAAACACATACTATATGTTAAGACTATGAGCCGACGAAAATGAGAAAACACAAGATTTCATTAAATGCGAAATTAATATTGTTTTAGGGCCCTTTTAGTTATTTAAGTTGACTACTTTCAGGCTTAAGTCAAATGCAAAGCCGGACGGCGCTTCCTTTTGTTATGTTGGACGCCACTTTGCAATACATTTATTTATACTTTACATAATATATACTATATTTATATATATATATATATATATATATATAATATGGTGAAACGAAAACAAGCATATATATTAATAACCGTAATCAAAAGTGAAAAGTCTGCGGCTCAGTGAACGTTTTTTAGAGGCCTACAAGTGAATTAGATGCTTAGTTAGTCTCTACTGTACTTGTTTTCTTTTAGTTTTCCATCTCCGCCACGCCTTGTCCTTGTTTGTCTGCAGTGTATTCATGAGTGTATTCATAGAAACCTAAGCAGGTTGTAAATATTGTGGAACAGCTTTCGTAAATCTTAATTTTTCCTAACCTTAAATCAAGTAAAGCTTTATAACTTTCGATCCTTACAATTGTGTGGTTCCTTGGTTGAATAAGCTGAAAGCAAAACTAAACTAAGTGCGGGCGAAATGAAAACAATTCCAAAATTCTTTACTTTATATAATTTATACACTTGATGATAAATAAGAAAGTGTTTGGACATGAATAGAAATCTGAGCAAAATGAATGTGGCAAATTGTGTCATATGTGGGAGTGGTTCGACCTGTGGGCGAACACATGTCAACATATGTAATTAACAATAAAGAAAATAAAATGAATTTAAACTAATTTGATTTTAAAAATTGAGCTCTGCACGTGGTGTTTGTCTTGGCTTAAACTTAAAAAAAGCTGCATGCTATGGCATTCACGCAGAAATAGCTGGCGTCATCTGTAGTTAAAAACGCGCACTACTAATCGTCGACCCGATGATTTAGCCAAGTTTCCCACGAATTGTATAAGTATTAAATGTCAAATTAAAATTTTTGTATTATCTTTATTATACATATTTTTAAATACTATTTTTAGTTTGCAACGAAGATGGTCGTCGCGGATGTAGACGAGGTCCTGGATGAGATTGGTAACTATTTGCTTCGTTGGCTTTGCCAGCAATTGAAGGACATACAGCATTTTCTCACAGGCTTCGGTTGGATGCAAGCGCTGATGGTATTTACCTGCAGTCTGACTTGCGTATTTCTTAATGACGAGATCATGGGCGTGGGTCTGGTTGCCGTTGACATAGCCTGTGAGTTTTCGCTGAGTAATAAGCAGCTCTCGCTTCTGTCTATTGCCGCATTTGTGGGCCTCATTCTGACATCACACTATTCGGGATACTTGACGGATAAGATTGGACGGCGTAAAATTATGTTATATTCCATGGTCTTGGCCATGGTATCATCGATCATTTCAATATTAATGCCAAGTTTCTACTATTTTCTATTTTGGAGATTTATGACGGGCCTATTGTGGGTACGGCTAAGTTTTTTAGCTGGCTTGTACTTTAGCGATAGCTACTCTCGCCCACAGAATCTCTGGTGTCAGCGTCAATAATATTACATATATATCGGAATTTACCAAAGTCAAATTGCAGTCTGTTGTAGTCAACATAATGTGTTTCGCTTTTGCTTTCGGTGCCATTTATGTGCCAGGTGAGTAGCATTTCCTTAGACTCGACTCTCCTCCTGACTTCTACAGTCTGCAGTTGTGGCCCATTTTCTCAGCCCGCTCAATCGCATACTTTTTAGCTGGGGTAACTTTCATCTGCGCGCTTGGCGTCTTAATATGCTGCTTAATTCAACTCCTGGATTTTTAGCGATTATCCTCATGTGGATGCTACCCGAAACAGCGAAATTTTTAATATCTGTAGGGAAAATGGATCGCGCCTACGAGACTCTCAATCGGCTTTGTTTAAAGAATCGAGGAAAGGACTTGGCGAGCCTGGGCATAACCGGCGTGTTTCAAGCAGATTTACCCGAAAGCACAGACAAACGAAAATTCTGTGAAAGTTTATGGTACGATACGGTGCCATTATTAAAGCCACCATATTTGAAGAACTTTCTGATCTGTACTGTCATTCTGTCCGGCTATTTTTTTGTGTGAGTTTGTGCGGGATGACCCTTGGCCAATAGCTACCACATTCTCTCTCCATCAGGGGCAATGGGATCACGCTATGGTTCATGAAGCTACGTCAAAACATGTCTGATTCCAATATGATCATCTGCGACATGATAAAGTACACGAAAACCTCGCATTCCACCTCGATATGCCCACACAAGACGTCCAATTTTATCGACGGCATAGTCCTGGGTTGCGCCTTCCTCGGCTGTTGCATTTTAATTAGCCTTCTGCTCATTTGCGTGCGCAACTCTTATATTCAGTTTTCGTATACAATAATCGCAACAATATGCGGTTTTAGCCTAAATTTCCTGAAGCTTCAGGTGCCCATCCTTATCGTGATGGTGCTGTTCAGTTCGCTGTTAGCCAGCAGCATTCCACTGATATCATCTGTTTTATGCGCTGTGGTGCCTACGCATTTGAGGTAAGCAAAGATTGCTTAATACTCTTGTCAGATCTGTATATATACGTATGCATATGGGCTTATATGTTTTCAGGGGCATGGCCATCAATATGAGCTATATGTTCGCGCGCTTATCGGTCGTTATTGCCAGCGCTTTAATTGGCAACTGGATGGTCCCTTACTGCCTGGTAACCTTCAATATCTTTGTGGTATTTGCATTGGGTAAGTGCTGCACTTGGGTCGTATACGTAATATGTGCATACTTTCTTTTATATTTACAGTGGTGACGTTTTTCACGTTCCTCCTGCCGAAGATATGAAAATTGGTCAACGACATGGTGACTGACAAAAACCTCGATTCACTGAAACTCAGCTTGGTGCTTGTCTCTGGTAAGTCGCATTGAAAGCTTATTGCTATAACTTGAAGCAGTTAATGCCTGGACATATGGTGTACGCAATATGCACATAATTTCCTTTCTTTTTACAGTGCTGGTCATTCTGAAGTGCTGCGTGCCAAATTTATTAAGGACGGCCCATGAGTGGGTCACTGAAACGTAGCAAGGTGCTTGTCTCTGGTAGGTTGCATTGAAAGGTAATTGCTATAGCACGAACAAGAATCTAAGAATAAATTCAACGTATTCTAGATTGTTAGTTAGATCTAGTTAGTACAGATCCAGTAAATGCTTTCCAAATAGTCGAATTAGCAATAATTCTGCAAGATTGAACCAATTACTAATTTCTACGTTTATAATAAGAACACAGCGCTGTTCAAATAAATATTGTATGTTTATTGAAACTCAATTTGATATACATATTGTTGTGGGTGTTTTTGGTTTTGCTACATTTAATTATAATATTTGTATATATCTGTATATATATCTGTCATATTGTTCACATCTGTCTATATATATATTGTATTTAATAGTTTAATGCAAGTAATTACTTATTTTTAACAAATTGTTAAAGTCAAGTTTTCCTTTTCATATAATCGTAAGCCATGCTACACACACTCTGCACTTTTAAAGCGCTGTCCTTAATCTTTGCTAATCCTTGTCCTCAACGCTACACGTTGATATGGTGTTATTTTTACAGTGTTTTTCTTTTCAGAGTACTTTCAATTACAATTAACAACAGGTAATAGGTATAGTAGGTTTAATAGTTAAAGTACAGATCGTACAAAGTTGATCAAATAGACTTAAGTTTCAGTTACAGTAATAGTTAGTATTAAGATACTTAAGTTTAGCTGAAAATATCTTAAAGCTTTTACAGCCATTATAGAAAATAGAGATTCAACAATGATTACAATAGATTTCTCAAAGCACAACCAATTTTTAGTTTTCGTTTCGTTTCATTTCATTTCGTTTCCTTTCATTTCGTTTCATATCATTTCGTTTTGACGCTCTTTTGTTTTACAACAGTATTTTTGAACAGATTCTCGTTCCAAGGTCAACAGCCAAAATGTAAAGAGTATTTAATATTTATTTGAACTGAAATGTTTTTTATTTCCGATACCACTCGAAGGTTTTACCCTGGCTACCTGGACAAATTACATACATGTAGTATATATGCACATGTTACTTAAGCAGTTGCACAATGACAAATAGATTATTTCTTAATCTTAGCAATTAGGGGGTTTTCGAAAACAAAAACAATATATACCTAATACCTAGGAGTAGTAGAGTATATAGAATTTTGATAGTTTTTTTCTTTAGTACCATGTGAAATTGTTTGAAGTCCTTTTGCTAACTAACGTTAAAAAGTTGTCGCACTTGTAGAAATAGTCGAGTGTTTTTTTTTTTTATTTTTTGCTAGAGGCTTTCTGTTAGAAGAGAGTAAAAAGTTGAAGATTTTTCAAAGCTTAAATGTACTCTAGTTTAGAATTTATAATATGACACCAGTATATGCTAGATAGTAAATATTTTTTAGACAATTTTTGTATTGTTAATTTTTTATATAATGTTTGCCAAGTTTGAAACTCCAAGTCGATAAGTTGAACGTTAGTTTTGTTTGCAAGCCCACAAAAAGAAGTGTTTTGTTTTGCTCAACCTTTTTGTTTCCTAGTATTTCATTACAAGAGATTGTCCTGTCGAAAGTCGAATGTGAAGCTGCAAGTTCTGGGAAGATACAAATGGGGGGGGTGGCAAGCGGGGCGAAGGGAAGTTGGGGATTTCGTTTAAGCAAAATGCTTTAAGTGTTGTGTTGCGCCTACCACACTGACTACCGAAAAAATTACTACAGTAAATTCGTCTTAATCACGCTTTAGTCGCTCACGCACACACACACACTCACGCTCACGCACATACACACACAAGAAGATTGTCATATTGATTTAGTTGAATATGTTTTTCACTTGATATCGTTCGAGTGTTTTTTTTATATCTTATACACTGAGAAAGTTTAGCGTTTAGTTTTGCATTCGATTTGTGTGTCTTGCAGTTTGAAACCTTCGCGGGTTTACTTAGCTCTGGTTTTAACTGTTTGAATTGTTTCGCCATTCTGACTTTGAAAAGTGATTAATTAGCGCAACATTTAGCAAACATTTAGTTGAATATATTTGTTAATATAATTTAGTGTACTTTAGGTTTCCTGTAGCGTATGCTTTCGATTTACTTGCCTCTTCGTTGCCTTGCATTTTACGACTTTATTGTTGATTTTCGATTTGTTTTATTGGATTTTTGGCTTTTCCTGCGCGTGGCACAAACACAACATGCATTAAACACTCACAAACACAACAACAACAAGCAAAAATATATATTTCATTCATTTGTTTGTTTTCTTTTGTTTTGATTTTTTGTATAATATGTATTTCTATATATCTGTCTGTTCGTTCTGGTACTCCGATTTCTTAATTATTGTGCCTGCAATTGTTTGCCGTAGTGTTGCCTTACTGTACCTACAAAGCTCTCTCACCATAAAGTTTTAACACATCCAAAACGCTGTCAAGCTCATTTAACTACTAAAACTATTTTGGGGACATACATAGATATATATATATATATATATATATATATATGTTTATGCGGGAATTGTTGGTGCTTGGCTTGGGATTAAAACTTTGATTAAACAACAAATTGTTTGGATGGCCCAGCTTAAGTACTAACAAATTGAGCGTTTACTTTAAGCAATAGCATATCATTAAATATTGGTGTTATGCATTTCATTTTTATTGTTTCGGTTGTCGCGCACGCTCGCGTGTTCGGTCAAGGGGAATTATCCGAATCCGAGCCGCCGTAGCTGTGCATGGGGAACAGCGGATACCAGCCGCTGATGTGCTGTCCAATGTTCACTTTGTCCAGATTCACCTCCGTGCCGCCCAGGCCCTGGTTGTGCTCGAAGCCCACACATCGTTGCCACACCATTATGACAATGTTCCGGCCAAAGACATCAGAGCTCTGTGCGTGTAAGTGTCCGTAAGCGTGTGTATGTGTGTGTGTGTGAGTGTGGGTGTGCGTGTTTAAAAGTAAAGTTTATTTGCATAAAAATTGCATTAATGTCACTCTGTGTAATTACTGGGAAATATACATATAAATAAATATGCAGCAGAAGCAGCCAGTGCTTACATGCTTCTTATACACTGTTCATTAAGTAAAAAGAGTATATTTGTTTTGTGTACTGTCCGTTTACACGTCTGGCCGTCTGCTGATATATAAAAGAGCAAGAGTAGCCCATCGTCGGCAGGTACCTTCTCTAGCTTCTGGCCCACATTCTCCAAGAATATTTACCCAAGGCAAGAAGACTCTTTTAAACTGATTCAACCTTTAATTCAACTGTGTACAGAGTATCGCTTAGTCGCTGACACCCGACCGCCTTCTGCCTTCTGCCGACCTATTTGCATTGTATTCACGAGCTGGAGACACACGCACAGCGCAGTCTGTTGCAAATTGGCCGCCATTAATCGCATTAAAATGCAACCAATAACTGCAACAACATTGACCTGACGGCCAGCGGTGCTTATCGCCATTTGAGTCATCATCAGCGAGTTGTCCCGCTTTATTGATGGCCCATTTGCTCACCTGATACTTGATGGTCTGCTTGTAGATTGGCTCTGCGGCATGCCGCACCACGCGCGTCTTCTTCTTGTGCCGCAAACGTTCCCCGTCTTTGATGTAGCATTTGACGTAGGTGTCTGGCGGCGTCTCGCAGTCCGCGTTGACAATGTTTCGTGCACAAATCAGCTGTAAAAATGTAAAATGCCATTGATTAGTTTATGCGTCTTAGAGTAGGTTGATATTTTCCAGTTCTTTAATTGAAGCGCAAAGTTTTCTCTTACCTCCACCTCGACGTTGCCTTTAATTTTCACGAATCCCATTTTGAGCTCACCATAACGCGCCGTGGTCAGGCGATAGCCCTTGGGATGTATCTGGGAGGGGCCCAACTTGAGCCCATAGCTGGACTCGCTGCCAGTGATGGCCGAGACGTTGACATAGCTGCCGCTGAGGGTTTTCACCACGCTCTGCTTCCTCTGAGGGCTGTCGCCGCTGTCCGTGCTGGTGCGTTGATAGATGCTGCCCTTTCTTTGTGGACTGTCGCCGCTCTCCGTGCTGGTCCGCTGATAGATGCTGCCTTTGCGTGTGGGCGTGCCCATGGGGGGCGTATCGCTGGCAGAGGGCACATAGATGCTGCCCTTACGCTGCAGCGAATGCGACTGCGACTGCGACTGAGATTGCGGGGCATGCCCCTCGCCCAACTGAAACATGCTACCCTTGCGCTGCTGCTGCAGTTGTCCGCCTGCGTTGAGCGTATCCTGTCCTCGCAAATTGACCATGCTGCCCTTCCGCAGCGTCTGCTGCTGGCTGCTGTCGCCCATGCCGCTGCCTAACAGCTGGCTCTGCTTTTCCTGTGCCACATTCGAGACGGAGGCGGCTTGCTTTAGCCTGGACAATGCCTGCTTGGCGCTCTGCGGTGGCAGCTGTGTGCCCGAGCCCTTCCAGCGTGGACGATAACGCTTTTCCTCATCATCGGACGGCGGACTGGTCTCCGTTGTGCCAATGCCAATCGGCAGATGTTGTTGTTGCTGCAGCTGCAAGTTTTGCAGCTGAAGTTGTTGCAATTGTTGCAGTTGCTGCTGCTGTTGCTGCTGCTGCGACAGATCCAGTATGGAGCTCTTGCGACTGTTGGGACCACTGGGCAGGCCAGCACGGCTGGCACCTGCAGCAGCAAGGGATGCGGCAAACACAAATTAAATTAATACAACTCGGCATTGTCATGGACTGCAGGTGGCTCAACTGAATGAAACTCCAACTCCAACTCAATGTATTCAAGGTTTACTGGGCGAAATATGAAGAGAGTGTTGCATGGTCTAAGACCAAGTCTAAGGTCTAAGGGCAGAGAATTGCTTTTAGCTATACAAAACAAACATGCAAAACAACAGCTAAGAAATGCACAGTGCGTATGCATGTTATTTTAATATATATTAACAAATATGTATGTGTATGTGTAAGAGATGTGTATTTATTATTGACACTTCAATTTTTATTTCCTACACTAAAATTGTTACTTTCTGTTAAGAATTTTAAACCCAAACCCTTTTATTTAAACCAATGTATATAAATTAAACTGTATTTGTGATTTAGTCTACAGAATGTGGTTTATTTCCGATTATTCCAATTCAAAGCATGTGCAAAGCTAAATTCTCAACTGCCCCATGAAAACTTGAATTCTCTTTAAATTTGATTACTTTCTCTTAGGCTTCAGATTTGTAAAAGGCTTTTCCAATACATTCTCAAGTGAAATATGGCCGATTTGGACATTGACGATGTGTTCGATACACTTGGTAAGCGTGTGCAGCATTTTGATCTGCGGTTGCAATTGCTTAGTTCTGTGTTCCGTGGCATTCACAGGCTTTGGCCGCATGCAACTGATTATATTTTTTGGCTGTGCAATACAACAGTTTTATGTGACCAACGAGCAGTTCGGCATCTCGCTGATAACTGTGGCAGCAAGGTGTGAGCTTAACATCGGTGATCATCACTTGTCCTGGCTCATGACCGCGGGGCTGATAGCGCAGGTCTGCACCAGCCATTATATGGGCTTCAAGTCGGATGAGATCGGGCGCCGCAAGCTGCTGGTCATCACCTCAACGCTGACCATAGTGACCTCGTTTATATCGTCGCTGATGCCAGAGTTCTGGTCGTTCCTTGTGATGCGTTTCATAGTGGGCTGCTTGTAAGTTTGGCGACTGTTGCTAATATTTCATGCATTTGTTCTCGGTCTAACAGTCTAACAGGTCCTGGCATGGCGCTGCTCACGTACATGGGCGAGTTCACCAAGATCAAGCTGCGGCCCATGGTGCTCAATTTCCTGTGCTATTCCATTGGCATCAGCATGATGTATGTGCCAGGTAAGCGCACTTCTCGTATCAAGAGATGCCCACTGTTCCGGCTCTACACACAGCTTCTGCGATGTTGATATTGCCGCAAGACATAAACTTAAAGATCTCCGGCGACTATGCGATTAGCGGCTGGCGTGTGCTCAGCATGACCAATCTGCTGCCGGGCATCATTTCCCTGCTCATGCTCTTGCCCATGCCCGAAAGTCCCAAGTACTATTTGTCCGTCCAGAAGACGCAAGAGGCTCTCGACGCCCTGGAGATGTGCTGTCGGTACAACAAGGGCAAGAATGTAACGCTGAAGAGTCTGGGCATCGATTCTGTAACGCAGTCAAATCTTCGCCGTGATTCCCTGGTACCTCATAAGAAGTGAGTAAGGGTAACGAGCAGCTTTGCACCTTATGCTCAAAATAACTAACTAACTATTCCACAGCTTTTTCCGACGTATCTGGCACGATACGAAACCCCTGCTGCAAGGCAGCAATGCGCGCTACATGCTCATAGTTATTGGAATTATGTTTTTTATGTTTGCCACGTGAGTACCTGGTCATTCATAGTGGATGGTTATTTGGCTGACAAGGCGGGCTTTAATCTTATAAGGCATAAAAATTGTTGATCTGTACGACAAGCCGAGTTGAGTAAGCTATGCCAGTCTGTCTGTTCGTCCGTTCGTCTGCTTAGTTATTGTATTTCCCGAGATGGACCCTTGATCTCGGAAAATACAATAACAAGGGATATAATCTCATATTAGTTTATCTATTTACGGAATCACGCATCATTTCCATATCATTATAACAACATAGATTCTAAGAGAAGAAACTTGGAATGTTCGTAATGGTGGCTTGTTCTTGGGTTCAGAGTAGCTTCTAGTCGGGCATTCTCATATATAAATAATAATGTATATTTATAGCGGCGCTGTCCTGACGGTTTGGATGCCGCGCGTTCTTAAAATGACAAACGAAATCGAAGAAAGTATGATACTCTGTGATGTGTTAAAAGCATATGCCGCTCAGAATGCCAGTACAGCCGTTTCCAAGGTTCGTTGTTTCATCAGTGCGCTTGACCAGAACTTAAGATAGTCAATTTCTAGTGCCATTTGGTTACAGCTAATCTGCTCGCTTCCTTTTATCATGGCAGCGCCTGTTTGGTTGGATTCATGCTGATCAGTGTCTTGTTGATTTGTCTTAACCGTAAGACAATTCTGTTGGGCTTCTCGGTTCTCTCCACTTTGTCAGGTTTCATGCTGAACTTCGTCATGCGCGATGAGCTGGTCATTGCGGCATTTGTCCTGCTCGTTGTGCCGCCGCTGTGTAGCTTGCGATTGACGTTGTCTGTGATCATCGATGTGGTAGCCACGCATTTGAGGTAAGAGTCAGGCGCCGTTATTCAATCAGATTTCCAACACCCTTTTTCTCTGCAGAAGCAAAGCTGTCGCCCTGTCTATGATGTGTGGTCGCTTTGGCGTTCTGGTCGGCAGTCTATTTGTGGGCTATACGCTGAAATGCTGCTGCTTTGTAACATTCAATGTGTACGTTGCGGGCATGTCAAGTAAGTGGCCGATGCATATGGTGCGTATGCTTGATATTGTAAGACTCCCTTTTATGCAGTTACCATTTTGCTCATCTTTTTTCTACCGAAGAAGAAAACTGGCAACAACTAAGTCGCCCAGGCTTTGCTTATTCGGATTGTACTTGTTTGGCTTTTGGTTTGATTTTGTCTATAGATTTTAAAAATTCAACTTGTGTTCACCATAATTGGTAAGTTGCTCCGCCTCCAGACTTTGACAGTACAGCAATTGCAGTATCTGCTGCATTTCCGAACTGGGCTACAAGACGGATACGATTTGGCACAACTGCGCGGTCTCTGAATCGCGTGAACAACTTTAAAGTGCTCGGCGCACATGAGGTGAGCATCCAACAGTGCGTATGGATAATAAAGAATATCTGTCTTGCCAATCGAGTTTCTTTGTTTTGTTTTTACCAACTAAGGACTATGCACATGATTGAAATATATATTTTTACTACTACGGCGGTGTCTGTGACGTTATATGCATACTTATATTATAGTCGTCGAGAGCGTCGAGCTTCATTATCAGCTGATTCAAACAGTCAATCAATCAATCAATCAATCAATGGAGCGCACAGCACAGAATGTGGCAAAAGGGTTTATGGCGAGAGTTCAAAGATTTTTGTTACCAATGCCCTTTTAACTAAAAATAAAATAAATGTCAAACTTTTCCTAGAGCTGTGCAGCATTACTGAGTTATTGTTATACCTTTTATTTATGTGTGTGCTGGCTTGTGTGCGTGTATTTGTGTATGTGTATTATATGAAGCCGAATAAATTTGAGTGGAACGAAACGTATTGAAAAGCAGGGCCAAAACTAAAAGGCCAATCTGCCAAGCCGCCGCAGCATCTAAGGATGGAATCGTGTCAACGTTTTTTACGTGTTGAGTAACACAGTCTTTTTTCATTACGTAACAAATTCGTTTCAATACTAATTTTCTTGACTTTTGGATTTTTGCCGTATTTCATTTCATTTTTATTTTTATTTATTATTTTGGAATCAAATTAATTTGTTGGTCGCTTGTATATTTTATTTTGCTTTCAAACAAAATATTCCATTTTTTTTAGTTTCTTTTAGTAGGCTTTCTTGCCGTGATTTTCTTTCGTGACATCAACACGCACACATTTGCCATAGCTCCCAATTTGTGGGTAGTAGAAATTGGAGTCGAAGTTGGGGCCGCGGTTGATTTCCATATTTAACGGCTTGTTTGTGGCTCATCAAGAGTACGTCCCATTTGCCTGTTGTTTTCCCTTTTTCTTTAATATTTGCTTAACTTCGTGTGCTTCTTCTATTTGATTTTTCTTTTGCTTGTGCCTTATGCGGCTTTTCATATTTTGCGTGTCGCTTGCTTTTAAAAGTTAATTTCAAGGCTGAGCTATTTTTCGGTTCTGCGGAAGGGTTCATGGCAGGCGTCAAGGAGTTGTCAGCCAACAGGTAATAGGGCGTGGCAGCTCGCTGGCTGGGCGTGAGTGTGAGTGTGTTTGGGTGTGTGGCTTTGCATTTTAAATAAAATTTGTTGAGGCTGCTTTGTTGCTTGGCGAAAAACAGCAATAAGCTGAATTAAGCTCAACCAAATGATGGCATCAAAAGTTTTCACGAGTCCTGGGACTTGACTTATCCACTCTTTTTTGTGCACGTGCAACCCAGGACTTTCATGTGTGTGTATGTGTAGGTTTGGCTGTCTTTGTGTGTGGGTGTGGACTTTAATAATACACCAGAAGCTTTGCAGGGTGAGTGGCAAGCGGAGTTCTTAGGCTCAGGCAGCGTGCACAGGTAAATTGTGTGTGTCTCAGTGTGTGTTAATTAAGTGGCATGCGGCTAGAATTTTGTACTAACAATTCCTTAAAAGACTTAACAGATTGAAATAAGCCAAAGTGAAGCACTAGTCGGGCAGAACTGAAACACAAAACTCAAACTCAAAACGAAAGTTCATTTTGCATTCTTACCAGTGGGTGAGTTCGTGGTTTTTGTGTGTTTAAATACTTTTGCGTTGCATTGCTGTTGTTGTTTGTATTGTTTTATAAATGTATACATATATATATATATTCTTTTTTCTTTTGCAATAACATAAACAATTATGCTGCCAAGCTCAATTTGCAGTGTGGTTTTAGCAAAGTGTCTCGTATAATTTACAAAAAAGATTTTTGGGATTTTTGGTGTTTTTGAAATGTTTTTTTTTTTTTTTCGATTACTAAGTTGCTGTTTTGGTTTCTGGCTTAGTTATTAAATTTAATTTAATTTAATTATTGCCGTGCAAAGAGTGGTTTTTAAATTGAATATTAGAGTTTGTGTAGTTAAGAGCTTTTGATTAGGTTTGGCAACGAAGTTTAGGTGTCAGGTGCTGAGAGAGTTCTTTAATATTTGCTTGCATTATTTATAATCATTGGAAGTTAACGGGATTTATTGTTTATTGCTTAGTTAATTGAATATTGTGTGATATGGTTTATCATTTAGTGTTTGTCCAGTTAGTGTAGGGTGTGTCAAAGCTTTGATAATGCGACACCGATATTGTGGCTAATAGTGAGAAAGATATGGGAGAGCAAAGAAATTAGATAGACAGTTGTAAATAGAGGCCAATGCAATATATATGTATAGTTATATAGTAAGTATGTAGTTGCTAGAGTGAGGCGGAAAGTAGTACCAGACGCACAGCAAGGCAGGTTCAGAGAGTGTGAAAATAGAGAAAGAGGTGTGGTAGAAAGACAGTGGTGGGGTATCAAGACAGCTCTAGAGAGTTTGTTTAGTTAGGAGCACATTTTGGAGAAAGGTCTCCTTTATCTTTATGAAATCATAACAGCTGCATCCCGAACCCAGCTGAAAGGTAATGAATTAACCTAAGCTACTTGGTATCGATACTTACGTCGCGAGCCCATGCGCTTGTTCTGCTCGGTGCCCAGGCTCATGGTGCGTCCCAGCTCGCCGCGTACAGCTTTTAAGGACTTCAAGATCTCATCCGGATCGCGTCGTGCAACTGAGGAGCGACGCCGGCCCACAAGATAGGATGTGGGTGGCGTGGCCATGGCATCCTCCTCCAGCCGATTCTTTTCGGCATCCTGAAAACTTGAACGACGCGAGCCCGGCAATGAGCGCGAGAAGTCCTTACCCAGCTGATATACCTCGACTTCCATTGTCTCTGATTGCGATGAGCCGCGTCGCGAGCCCGCTATCCAAGCATGATCCGGATGTAGCAATGATGCACCGTCCCCTATCGAATCGACATCATCCGATATGGAGCGCTGCATATTGTAATCACGCCGCAGCAAACGTGACATGTCCGCACAATGGCCAGCACCCGCAGCAATGGAGCCACGTGGCGAGACGCTTGGCGACTTGCTGATGCTAATGCCACGCAGCCCCTTTGGGTCCTCCAGACGACACCAGATGGCCTGGTCATCGAGAAAGGCCTGCTGTAGCTCAATGTTGCATTCGCCCAGAAATATGGACTCTGTATGCGGCACCAAATCCCACAATTGTATGTCTATATAGCGATCCATCAAGCTGTCGGCCTTCACATGGGCAAAGGTCAAGGTTGCATTCCAAATTGGATTCTGAGTGGGCCGACTGACCTCCGTTTGCTGCACGCTGCCGTCGCCGCTGCAGTAGCAAGAGGATAATCGAGAGTTACTAAATAATTTATACGGCATTAATAGAAAAAACTAAAAGAAAATGCTGTAGAGTATATATTTGAGTATATTTTTAAATAAGTAAAGTAGTCACAATTATAGATTATTGATATATGCTGCATAAGAGCTTTAATAGCTCGATAAAGAGGCTATAATATATGGGTTAAAATTTCAACGGTACACTTACCACTTGGGCAATATGCGAACTTTGGCATATGCTTCCGGAAGATTGCCATGCCCGTATGCCTCATCGCGTAATGCTAGATCATCGCCAGCCATTAGGGATACGACCAATTCGCTGCGTTCCGCATGATACCAAACCTGTATTTGGACGCGGCCGCTGACCATTTTCTCCCGTGCAATTTGCTCCTGCGGTTGAGAGAAGTATTAGTACATAGATCCAATTACGAAAGGACAACAACTCGAAGCATGTAAAAAAGGCTGCGCTGTACAAGTTTTAACTTATTATTTAGTTAGTGGGTTATATTAGCCTAATGCCTACATATGTAACGCATTGAATCTTTACTCTTTAGTTTATTATTCAACTCGCATATTTACAGTTGCTTGATTGTGTTGTTGTTGTTGTTGTGTACATAACTGAACAACAAATTAAAGCAATATAAACATAAATAAAACTAATTAAACGGGTGAAAATAAAGGCAGAGACACACACAGGCAGAGAGGGAGAAAGGGAGAGAGCGAGCAAGGGCAGAGACATAGAGTGAAAGTAAAGGAAATGAAAAGCATGCGAATATGCAGTGCATAGCTACAGGCGCTACACAGACACATGCACATACACATACACATACTTATACAAAAACGCATGCATAGTTACATGTAAATGATGCTTGAATAAGCGCACGTTATAGCACACACATGAGCACACACACCCACACACACGTACAGACACAGAGATATATTTGTATTTACATTGACCACACGGAGAACCGCAAATGCAATCTGCTGTGGGCGCTGACTGGTGTTTTTTATTTGTATTTCACCTCCTCCCCCCTTCCCCCTATCGGGCCATCCCACTCAAACGGAAGTCATTGCTGCGCAGTTGCGCAAAAGAGTCATTGTTGCTGCTGATGATGTTGTTGTAGTTGTTGTTGGCATAGTGTTGTGTTTATTATACTTGGGTTTGTTGAATATAGCGCAGCCTCATAATATATTCATAGCGTGTATATGCGCACAGTAATAACAACAACAACAACAACAACAACAACAGCAAAAGCTGAAACGAATGTCGAACTGTCTGGCGTACAGAGAGCCCTGCAATGGCAACGGAAGCCGCCATATTGCAATAACGTGTGTCAGAACGGAAATGGACCATACATACACAAGCAAATGTATTTAAGGAACTGTTGCTCGGCGTACGCGTGTCTGTGTGTGTGTGTAGCAACTCTTTATGGCAGTGCCAAAAAGTTTATTACATTACGAGACATATTTCTCATCTGTTGAGTGGGTAGCGGGCCGCACGAAATCGAATTCGTGCGGGGCGTTTATGAGGCAGAAGCGCGCACTTATCTAAAGGTAAACAGCACACACACACACACGCGCACATAAATACACATGCACAGGGCCAGGATTATTGAAGTTGATCAAAATGGCTGGCTGGCAGGCAGCGATAAGTGCCCAAACACTTGAAAAACTTTGCAGCAGAAGGCTAACACAAGACAAGGGCACCGGAGGTGGTTGTTGCCTTTCAAAGGCAATGCCGATAATAATGACGACGTAGCTGCCTGAATTGTTGTTAAAAGTTTTCTAATTTTCGACATTTCAAACATTTTATGCCTGCCAGCTGTCAATTAAAGGCGACAGCACCTGTTGCTGACAGCCGCCAGGGCCTAAAACGAGGTCCCAGACCACCCACCCCACAGCCACTGAGCGCTGTGGCAGGAGTCAACTGTTGCCTGCTCTTTGGGCGTAATGAAAAACTCGCACGCTAACTTGACACCTGCCCCAGACACACACACCCACACACACACACACCCACTCACACACATACGCAGAGACAGTGTCTCAAAGTTGCGGCGCTTAAACCGCAGCTAGGCGAAGGCCTGTGGTTGCTTGCCCCTGCCCCCTACTCCCTACTACCCCAACTGCTTGTTTGTGCGTGTGGCAAAAGTAACTAAAATTGATAGTAAACTTTGCGTCTACGGTGCGTATGAATAATAAATGCAGTGCAGACAGTCGCATCGTAAGACATTCAGCAGACACAAGACTAAGTTTACGAATATACGCTTTAATACGATGTTATATGAGTTTGAAGCGTGCAAGAGAATATACATTTATATAAATAAAAAATTACATAGATATATAATTAGCTACTCATACGTTTGGGCGACTCAATCCCCTTGATATATAAGTATATATACACACACACACATATATGTATAGTATTTATATGTGTTTTAAATTTCAATTCATTATGTCTAAGGGTCCGCTACATATATGCATATGTCAATGAAATTATTATATTCAATAAAAGAATCAATCAATCATAAAATCAGACGCGAAACAGCATTGTTCATCAATCAATCAATCGCATTGATGACACTAATTTTTTCCTACTGCTTCCGCAGCTTGTTCTGCTCTGCTCTGCTTGTTTTTAAATATTTTTTTATATTATTTTTGTCAGCGGTATTTTTATTAACTGCATTTATTTTTCTGGCAAAAACCAAGTGATCTATTTAGTATTTTTTTGATTTTCTGCATTTTGCTGCAGTTTTATTTTGGTTAAGATTATTTTGAATATTCATTGCCATAACTCGTGCCAGCTGGGGTTACAATTCTTGTACAGGTAGAAATGAAAATTTAGTTCATATACAATCGTTAGTAGGGTTTTGTTTATTAAGTATATATATATATGTTTAATATAAAGTTTTATAGTTAAATGCATTTGTATTAGTTGCAAGTTGTTTAAAGAAATGCTAATCGGTTTTAGATTAAAGAGCCACTAAATGCTAGTCAAACAAATTGTATTGGTAGGCTTTGCGGTACATGTTATGCAAATTAAGCAAAATGCAATCAAGTTAAAGAAATAGCTGGTAAAATTGAAAGACAAATGAAAAATATCAAAAGTAATATGAAAATATTCCAAAATATACCAAAACTCAAAGTTTCATGTTGTTTTTGTATGTGTTCTTTGTTTTTCGTTGTAAATCTGCCAAGCGACCCTTCATATAAGCAGCTAACACTAATACAGATCATAAAGCTGTCCTCATTACAATTAATGTTCCTTGTATACAAATAAATTTATTTTCTTTTATATACAAGCAAAAAATAGATTACATTGAATTGTAATAGTAGGTAGTATTTTCTGCAAGGTGTGTGAATAGTAAGTATATTTATTACAAGGCTTCGCTTTGTTTAGACAACTAGAGAAAGTGTAAAACGTTATGCAACACTATGTACGAGTATAAGTTAGATAGATAGAGAGAGGTGGAGAGAGGGGGCATCATTGAAGAGTCAAGAAATATGCATAAACCGAAACGAAATGAAACGTTGGGTAAGGATAGGTAAACATTTGCTAAGCGAAACGTAAACAAAAGCTCATAAATTGACAGAGAAATGGAAAATTGTGCACAAGGACACAGCTCAGCGAAAAAACGGGGCGTATACGCAACAGTAACAAAGAAAAATGTATTTTCATATATACTTATATATAAATAAAAAAAAAAACAAAGCAGAAGAAACAAAAGTTCGAAAGAAACAAAAAAAGAAAAGCGCACACATTTCTTTTGATATTTTTGTGGGCATTACAATATGTAAGTACAACTTATAGAACCTAGCTATATTACACTGGTTTTGGTTTCAATAATGAAAGGATTTTTTGCTAGCGGGCTTTACTTTCGTTTTTGTTTTGGGAGTGCTAGAACTGTACAAGTTATTAAGATATATATAGTTGGTTTATGTATATACTTTGTATGGGATGCTTCATTTACATATTGGGTATTGATAGAGTTGTTTTTTGTTCATTTACCATTTGGTGGGCATCGAAATGGGGTGCGTTGGTGTCGAGGCTGGAATCTTGAAACTGGCTGCATACAAAAGTTATAAAATCGAATTTCCAGGCATTTGATATTTGATAATTTTTTTGCAGTTAATATAGAGAGACTTTATTTTTCACGTTTCTTTTACTTTTCAAATCATTAGCACATCGGTATGCGTTTAATTTTCAAAATAACTGGGTGTATATAGATATCGTATAGAATTGTAAAGTTATGTATACATGGGTATATATATATGTATATATATATATAGGTATAAAGATAAGCGACTGACTTTCATAAAAGTGATTAAATTTCCTGCCAGCGGCTCCAATTATATAGCTCGTACTGGAGCTCTTCTATTTTCACCCTTTCACTTTTAATTAAACATATACATACAAAAAAATGTCAATGCAACAACTTGCGCCAAAAATACAATTACAGTCATCAGTTTTCATGTTTCTCATATAATCATTTTATAGAGTTCTCATTTTGGATTGTACTTAAGTCAATAGCTGGGGGGAAGTAGTACATAGTAATAAGTACAAATGAGTACGTACATATGTACATGTATACTTGTGTGTAGTTCAACGAGTTGTATAAGGACTATATAAATACATAGGTACAAGTACAGCTATAAGTATGTGTGTGTATGTGTGTGTGTGTGTGTAGGCTATACAAAGTGTACTTTACAAAATCAAAGATCAATTTTATCACCCATCTGACAGGAGTTACACAGCTAAGCAGCGGCTTTAGTTAACGGTATTTTAGTAAGAGTCTAAAACGTAGTTTTATTATTTTTCTGTTTCTTTCAAGAAATGATTTATATTTCATTTAGCACTTTGTTATTGTGGGTTCATCATATATGTAATTATCAGTAGGTGGGCTCCGCGATCTATTGGATATATATAATCGCGTTTTCTCCAAAATATTATTTATGTTAAACATTTACAAACACAGCACTAACAATGACATTACACACAAATACAAATGTGTATAGGTGTAGATATAGGCGTATGTTCTATATGTATATATATGTATGCAAAATACATATACATCAATTACTTGTGATTGGGTCCAAAAAATGCGTAAAACTCTCGTATATGCATATGTACCAATTAAGGAAGTTGGGTTCAATTTTGTTTCATATTTTTGTTTCGGTTAAAAAACATTTAAACATTTCAACAACAAGCTACTTATTTGATTTGGTTTTTGGATTGTTCTTTTTTTCAAACTTTTTGCACATTTTGTTTTCTACTTATATAAAGTTAATAACATTTAAAACACACATAAATATATAGTTAAACTCTGCTACAATTTGCACTATTAACATTTATAAAGTTTTTTTGTTGTTGTTTTGTTTCTATATAAATAGTTTTTAATAACTGTTTACTGCGTTTTGGGCAACTGTTTTCAGTTAGCCTGGCCCAAACCCAGCACAGCTATTTCATAATTCTTAGTAGTTTTTCAATTATTGTATCGATTTGTAGAGCCTAATTTAATGGTACTACACAAGCTGCGTATATAGGAAAATGTTTTAAAATTCGTTACTGTCTTATTGAACGGTTCTTCGGCTGCAGACAATTACTCAGAGTAGACACGACTAACAGTTATGTAAAACTTTATGTTCAGCTTATAAATCTATTGTTGGTGCTTTGTTCTTACTGTGTTTTACGGGCAATTCGATTGCCTAAGAGAAGGTTCAACTAACACAAAATATATGTCGAGTAATGGATACTATAAGGTGCTATATAACGCATATCGAAATCGTTAGTATAGTATTAGTATTGAGCATTCGTAGCTAAGCTAATTCCTTTGTTTAGTTTATAGTAACCTTAAACGTAGTCACTTCTATTTCTAGTTAAGTAGTTGACATATACTATATTATATACGTAGTTTTTGTATTTGTTTTTTGTTTATTTTGTTTTTTTTTTTGGTTTTTAGTTCACTAACAATCATTTCTACCAACACCGAAAAATTAATATAATGTAATTAATGTGATTATATGACAAAATAGCGAAGAACACATTTAGCCATAGCCATTTGTTTATGGTTAGTTAGTGGTAGTAACTAATATTAGTAATCAACCGAAACGAAAAACACATAGAAATCAAATCAGAACATAATTATATATTTTTAATCAATATTATCTACTACAAATACAAATCTCGTATTTGAAACATAATCAAAAATATCGAAAAATTATAAAAACCGTTTGGTAAAGTGGTTTGATATAAGGGTGAGTTTTTTTATAGCACTGAAGCTGCACTGAAATATGCCAAATGATTTCATATACTTTGAGGAAAAGCTGAAAAGTGTGTGTGGAGAAAACTGCGTATGCTTAAGCTGCATATTGTTTTTATAGCTAATTATTGCATTATAGCCCATTGTGTATTATAAGTTTAGCATATAAAGGTATTTTCCATTTTATATTTGTATGTTCACTGCCAGAGTTCATGTTCTCTTTTATCTCAAATCGCAAATGGCATATCGCAAATCGCAAATCTCGAGTTGAAATAAATATTACGAAATTGTTTTTATACCGGAGTTTTTGGTAATTTCCGTCTAGTTGGCGATGCTGGTGATTTGTCTGTGTTGGTTTCGGGGTCTGTTTTTTTTATTACAATTATTTTTTTTTGAAAAAGAAGTAACAAGAAAGGAGAACAACAAATGAAAATTATGTAAATGTTTGTTTTCAGGGTACATCAATAAATTAGTTATGCACATGTATGTATATACAATACTGGTTACAACAGTGTTGGAAAGTGGGACTAGCTACTTGAATGAGCGCCTGAAACTTACCCGCTATAAGTCCCAGTCCTACAGGACCATCGCCGGAGCGCCTTGGTCCGCTCTGACCGCCACTATTGCCGGGCGGCAGATTCTCATCGAACAGATCGCACATGCGAAAGTCTGTGGCATGTTCCACCAGCAGCTCGACAATGTCACCTGTGCGATCCATAATGGAGCAGACCTCCTCAAAGCTGCGATCGATTAGCGACATGCCATTCCACTCGAGTATCTGTTATGTTAAAAATAAAATCATCCTTTTAGCTATCATTTGTCAGCAAATGTTTTCCTTTAGTAAAATTGCTGACAGGCAGCTATGTATTTCTATAAATTTGTTTCCCACTATTACCCATAATCCATGCACAAAATGGATTCTCTGGAGATTTAACAGCGACGCTGAGCGATGCGCCAACTTCTAATAGCAATTGAGTAAGACGCGCATGCTTAGCAGCGACAGCGACACCAACAAAGAGACGCGCCCTCTACGTTGCGTCGAAGACTTAACAGAGCGTCGACGTCGACGTCGACGTCGTAAGAGAAAAGGAGCATGCAGTGCTTCGTTAGCAGCAGCGTTGTTTATTGCGCAGTGGTTTCGGGTCGCTTGGAGAGTGCAGACGTGGATGGTCGAATAAGCGGGGAGAAGTGCAATGACGATCGACGCATGTGAAATAAGTGGGTGAGTTGTTAATTACATATTTTCTAGAGCAATTATTTTAATTGTTTAGTCTGCCGTCTGCCTGTACACATGAACAGTATTGCCTTCGGCTTTATAATCAGGGAATTGATATAAATATTCTTTTGTTAAGATACGGTATATATAATTTATTATACCCGTCGGGCTATATGGCTACTGCACTTGAACTCCGACATTGCACTCTGTCCTCATTAGTTGTTTTATTATCTGTATATGGCTTGTTCAGACTGACTTTTAGCTTAGCCTTGGACAGTACCCTAAAACATGAGTTTTCAAATTTTCCCACCATCTTTGTCTTGTCTTCCAAATTCATTAATTATTCGAATTGTTTTGGTAATATGATTCTTAGGAGTTGACTCACCTTGTCGCCCTGCTGTAGGCCATTTTTCTCGGCCGGCCCGCCAGGCACTGTCCATACAATGTAGGCAAAGAGCCGCCCGTCGGTGCCGGTTTTGCCGCCAACCACGCGCATGCCAAAGCCTCGTGCTGCAAAAGAAAAGAAGAAGACAGCAACAAATTTAATAAGAAAATATGCTGACTGATTATGGGTAGCGAAAAATAAAAAGGAAAATCAATATTAAATCTTCGAGTCTACATAGACATAGCACGTAGCAACAAATTTGGGGCATGTGGCAAGCAATTTGTGTTGATTTCATTTGCAGTTTGCACTGCTTGTCTGACACCCCGAGTACATTGCGTATACGCCTCGTTGTTTGCGTGTTTGTCTGACACCCTACGAGCACACTCCGTATATGCTATAGACAAAAGCACTCGACTCGGCAAACAACTCGACTATTTACTTTTCTAGCTGACTGTCTGCACAAGTTTTGTGCTTAGTCGACTTTTATTTGAAAGGGATGCTTAGTTTCATATTAGCTTCGAGCTAGAGCTGGGCGCGTGCTAGATTTATATAGAGCCGAACTCGACTTCTTTTGGCCTGTGCCTTTGCCTTGCCTGATATGCTATAAGCCAAAATTGGTTAGTCTTCTGTATACTTTAAAAAGCATTTCTTTAGCAGAACAGCTCGAGAAAATTCGGTTGCCACCTGTACGAATTCAACTTGAAAACAAGCAAATTTTACCTTAGGGCCAGTCTGCAGCTGCACTCTCGTTGCAAGAATCCAAACGATTTAATTAATTTAATTGCAATTTCAGTTTGCTGTTGGCCGACTGCGCTGCGAATGTGCAGCTCAGTTTCAAGTACTTATCATTGGGCGCAGAAAACTAATTTCAACAATTTGTGCACGAAAACTTACGAAAGCGGATTTCCGCCCCTGCCCCATCTTCTTCTCAGCAACTCAACCAAGAAATGCTCAGCTCGCGGACAGACAGTTGAACGCTTGCTGCAGACAATTGCCAAGAAAGTTAACTAGCGACTTGCTGAGAGCCAAGGACGAGGAGAGCCAACTAGCGAGGGGGACTAGTATGTGGGGTAACGGGACATTGACAATGAAATTTTGTTCGTCCAAGGTTTTCGGTGACATTTTTGCCTTTATGTTTGCGTGGATTTCCACAGCAGAATTATTCAGAGCAGGTGCCTTCCGTTTTTTTTGTGGAAAAGTTTTGCGCAGGAAATGCCAACAAACTGTCGCCGCGCCCTCAGAAGTATGCAATAAAATGTTGCGCATACGCCTCGTTGCTGCTGTTGATTTGGGGCACATTGATACCCAATTAGGATAACGCGACATTTTCTCTTTGAGTGTTTTAATCAAAAGTTTTCTTTCGCTTCACTTTCTCTTTTTGTTTCTCATCTTTTCTTATGCTCGCTAAGCACGGCCATAAAAATGAAATAAATAAAACACAAATCCTTTGCTGTCAGCGCTGCCTGCGACCTAGTGACAGCACAAAAGCAAATGCCAAAAAAGGATGTAAAATGGCGCAGATTATTCACAAGCTGACCGGTATATAAGGGTAGTCCGTGACGTGGCAGTTTTGAGAGTCGCGATTTGCTGCTGCCATTTAGAAATTATTATAACTGATTTATGAGCCAAAGGAAACTTAACTGCCTGCAGGGTAACTATTAGTCGTGCATACGCGAATGTTACTTTGTGTAAGTTATCCCTTGGCCGTACTTAACATGCACGAACTGTGCGTGCTGAGTGAATACTCGATATGCTTAAACTTGGTCATAAAACCCGCCACATTAAAATCATGAGACTACCCCTGAATGGACAGCACTAAGGTGAGGTTGGGTTTTGGGTTCCGATGCGGGAGGTTGGGTTCTGCTACTCTCTGTTTGGCTTGGCTATTTTGGCAGCCCGTCTCTCATTGTTTGCCCTGTGCTGTCCTGCTGCCGGCTGTCGGTTGTCGGCTAGCTGCTCCTTTCGTGTGCATGTGTCATTCAGCTACGTTTTATGATACAATTTGTTGATCTTTTATTTTTATTTTCTTTTGTATTTTGTATTTTTATTTTTATGTGGGTATCATTAGGATTTTAATAAGCCAAATACTGAACATTGTTGCTGGTAGCTATGAACATGTTTATGCCCAGAATTTGCTAACTTTTTATTGAGGGTCACCCTCTTATGTCTTCCTCGCCTGTCGTTTGAGGTCACCCACTAATTTTTGGGCACGCTTAAAAAGTGATCTATGTGTGCGGCGGCAGTTGTGGTAGTTGCTTTAAGTTTCACCTGTTTGAAATTTGTGCTGAGAAACTTTTAAGCCTGTGTCCTGGTAATAGTTTGTGTGGCATGCCAAAGCTTGCCCTGCATCTAATGGCATTAGCAGTGCAAACTTTTAGTTGCCTGGGCGAAGGACTTAATCGATGCACACAGTCACACCCACACTCACACACACGCAGCTGCTGCCAGGGCATGACTAAGCGTTTTAGTGGCTGCTATCAGCAGCCATAAAAATTGATTCTTAATTAAACTAGCAAGACCGTAGTTGCCGCTAGGAGACATGAGACAGACCTTAGCCAGGTTATCAACTTTGAGACAAAACTAATAAACAAGTGCTGCGCACGTGTGCATCCAAGTGCTACTTTGGAACACCTGGAACAGCTACAAGACAGCCAATCGCTCGTTTATGTCAACAGCTGAGCGCCCCAGCAGCTGAAGGAGACAAGCGACTCAAAGGGGCTGCTGCTAAGTAGAGCGTGCCTGGAAAATACCCGCAAGTAAGCAGTGTGCTTAAGAGCACTAAAACTATGAATGGCAGCCACGGACGGGGCGCACTCTGGCTACCTGTTGCCCCGAACAAAACCAAACGAGCCAATCGCACGCAAACTCCTATTAGTGTGTGTGTGTGTGTGTGTGTGTGTGTGTGTGTGTGTGTGTGTGTGTGTGTGTGTGTGTGTGTGTGTGTGTGTGTGTGTGTGTGTGTGTGTGTGTGTGTGTGTGTGTGTGTGTGTGTGTGTGTGTGTGTGTGTGTGTGTGTGTGTGTGTGTGTGTGTGTGTGTGTGTGTTTTTTACGTGATTTGCAGTAATAAATGCGTAGCTCATGAGGCTGCATAAAATTTCATTAGGCGTGTTAAGACGCCATTCGGGCCACTAACGCAGTCGCCCAGTGGCGTTCATTATTGCTTGTGTGAGTGTGTATGAATGTGTGAGTGTGTGTGTTACTCTAGCAGCCAAGAAAACACTTGGACGGACTGCATAATTGAAAGCGCATTTGGCCATTTACAATCACATTACATTTGCCATCGATTGCTTTGTAGCTGCATTTGATGTTCTTTTCGGTTTAATTGAGCGCCCTTTCAAAGCAGCTGCTAATTGCGCAACTGCTCTAATAAATGTGCATAAATACTTTAAAATTATAAGGCACTCGTATGATACACACACACACACACGCACACCCGTTGCATCGCATGCAAGTCAATATGACTCTCAAGGCAAGCAGGTGCCACAGCCACAGTCACAGCGTGTGTCAGGCGTGCGCTTGCGGTTAAGCCGCACGGCAAATAGCTAAAGCAGGGATACAGCTAAAGATATGTATATATATAAATATATACGTATATATTGTATAGGTATAAGGATGGCAGCCACAACAAATGCCAGCAGTGGCGCTCCAGCGTCAGGCAAGAAAATGGTTTAGCACATTAAAATTCCACTTGCTTCGTTGCATATCAAATATGCCAGGTAAGCAGGCAGCCAAGGCAGGCGACGGCATAGAGACGATCCAGCCAACCAGTCAGGAGAGCCTGCTTAACTCTTGATACGAGCACAGACACACACACACACCGAGACGGACATTCACACGCACACATTTTTTCATTGCAGGATGCGCTTACGCGTATTTGTTGGGTATTGACATTTTTTTATGATATGCAAATTGAAATTTTACTATATAGAGTTATACGTATATAGGGAAATAAGCCAGTCAGGCGCACGTTTGTGGCACAGGTGAGTGGCAGACAGGTAGCCAACAATCCAGCGGCTAGTTATTTGATTAAAATTATTTGCGTTCGTGACTTTAAGCCTGACTACCAAGCACTTTAAGCCAATTAGGTTTGCTTTTCATCTAATTTCACGTGTTCCGGCCAGTGAATACAGCAGCAACACGAGCTGTCAGTAACAAACCAACTACCTGACCTGTGTTTCGATTCGTGCAGCTGGATTTCCACAGCCATTAATCAAGTTTTTGTTTCGAACCTTGGCTTGTCATATGTGCTCGACATTTTGATGCTAGAACTCATTTTTAATTTGTAACTGCCCCTTCTACTGAAAATATTGCAAGCCGTAGATATTTTCATACAGAAATTGCGGGCTAAATTAGATCTTCACCCAAAGTTGGCATCTACCAAAGACGTGTAGATAAAGCCAATTATGCTTTAGAGTATCTGAGTATCTTTTGTTCTCGATTTAAAGTGAAAACCTGGCTTGCAGTTATGGCCATAATAGTCAATATATATCTGTCAAATCTATGCATATATAAAGTGAATTCAGTGAAATGGACGGATAAGCGATTTGAGTTTTAATTGCGAGCCACTAACTGGCAAATCGATTTTCAATTTGCGCTCTTATATATTTGCATAAACTTTCCACTCAACTTCTTTTGCCTGCTCCGCTGCTTTTTCAATCTTTTCCATCTTTCTGATTTCCTCGGTTGTAACTTTTCACATTTCCGAGCCATTCGTGACAGTTTTGCATGTACTTTAAAATGTTGTTATGCGATTAGGTAATTTTTAAGGAACACAACTGAGCGTGTCAGCGCTTGAAGTTGGCTTGTCAGAACGTGAATGAAAACGAACTAGGCGTAATTTAATTCATTTTAATTTTTATATTAAGCACGACAGCAATTATGAACACTACGATAGGTAAAAATCTTGTTTTTGCACTTTTATAACCTTGTCAAAACTAAACCGATAGTCACAAGGACTTGGGATATAAAAACTTTTATGGCTTAAGTGGAGAGGCGAAGAAAACTAAAATAATATTTTTCAAAGTTCCCATTCAGTTTATTATGTTTAGGAATAATTAATAGTTCGACTTAAGCTTGTGCCTTTTTATCAACTCTTGAGTTTCTCTTTGCTCATTTTGTTTTAATAAGTTTTCATTTCTTCTTCATGCTCATTTGATGCACTTCCTTTTTAATTCTAATGCTCTGGCACGTTTTTTGCTATTGATTTTTTGCTGTGCTGATAATTAAAAATTCATTTGCACGGTCATTTCATGCGCATCGTTTGTCAAGCGCCATCGCAGCCACAGCTGCCCATGGAGGAATGCAACAAAAAATGCATATAATTAAAATACGTACTCGCACATACACACACACTTTAAATTGATGGCTATTGGGAGAAAGCGGAGAAGCAACGCCAGCAGCTAGCTGCCATTATATATGTATCGTATATGTAAACTAGCAGAGATATATGTACATGCACGTATAAGCTTTGTTGTGTTGGGTCTGTGGCTCAGACGTGGTAGTGCCTGCAGTCCTTTATGTCGATAAAATCCGCTCAGTTGCTTAATCTGCTACCAGTTTGCTTCCGCTTTGGGTTTCATTAGGGCCCATGGGACCCCGACCACATTATCCTTTACGGTCGTATCGTATCGCCGTGCAGTTTGCTTGGGAATTGGGGAGAGCGCAGAGCGGACAGGAAATGTTAGCGGCTTGGTCGAGTCCTTTTAGTGAGTCTCTGGTCGGTAGGTCGCTCTGACGAATTAGCATAGCCAAACGTTGTAATGAGTCTTATTTACTTGGCCATTTCCGGTGTGGCCAGAAGGGAGCACGGCCCCAGCGTGCTTTCATCAAATGAAATTTGCTATACACACACACACCCACACAGACATGCACATGCTTATGCAGACATTAAGGTGGAGGCACTTTGTGTGCTCTCTGAAGGCTTTACTTACTGCGATGTGCCTTGTCCGTGGGGTCCCGGCGCAGGACAATGCGACGCTTTGATGCACATATCGGACCGGAATCAACATCGTGTATGACAATACGTATGGCCTCTCCATCCATGGAAGTTTGTCGCCGTGGTGCCTCCAAATCCTCCAAATTGGGGCCCGTAAACGAGGCCATTGGCGCTGGAATCGCGCAGGTCAGACCCGTTGGCAACGCGCCGCGATTCTGCAGCGCCGCAATGTCCGGCCTGCAATCGAGACACAATAAAGCATGACGTTAATACGTGCTGAGCTGCCAGCCCCAAAACTGGTGTCCACTTACAGCTGTGAACCGCGTCGCCGCATGCGTCGATCATCGTCCACAGTGAGCACAGGGCTGCCCTTATCCGGCGAGCCGGGCGACTCATCATTTTGGATATCCTCCGAGGGATGCGGCACACGAAACGAGGGACGGCGTGAGCCCGGAAGCTGCACGGGCGGCATTATGCCACCGCCGCCATCACACGGTGAACGCTGCAGTTGTGTGGCTGCTGTTGCCGCGCCCTGCATCAGTCCCGGGGCAAAAACATCGTAGGCTGATTTCCTGTTGGAAATTTATCGTTAGCAGCAGTCTTGCTTGCTGGCCGTTTGGCTTACCTGCGCGGCATGGCTGGTATGCCCAGGCCAGCACCATCAGGGCCAACGCCCAACGCGGGCCCGCCACCACCCATGCTACCGCCCACGCCGCCCGTCTTCATGTCATCATCGTAGCTGTGCTGGCGCGAAACACGTGAGCCGCGCCGCGACTGCATCCGCGAGAGGGGCGCACCAAATGCGGGCTCCAGTTCGCTGCCGCGCGGCGGGCTATTCGAACGGCTGGGTGCCATGCTGCGGCCACCTTTTAGCTGCTGAAATTACATTAATTACATGAAACAAATGGCAGTGGGCAGTAACTGCTGTGTGTGCTGGGATTAGCTTACGCGCTCCAGCTCCTTCAGTGATGCAGGTGAAACATCTGAATGCCGACGCAACTCTGGACTGCGCGGCGGTGCCAAGGCGGCACCATTGCTCGGCGCCAACGTCTGTGTGCTGCTGCCCAGTTTGGCGTCCGAGTGTCGTCGCTGCAGTGCCTCCAGCACGGGCACGTCCAGCGTGGAATCTGTCGAGTCCTGTGGTATACAGACGCGCGAGGCCATCTTGCGGCGGCAAACGCTGCAGCGCCACATGTTCTGCAAAAGGGCCAAGGGATGGATGTAGTGTGAGAGAGACAGAGAGAGAGAGAGAAAGAGAGAGAGAAAGAGAGAGAGGGGGAAATCAGTGCAAAGCAACATTGCGTATACGCAGCGCTAATTAAATTTCATAGCTTAGCGCAAAATTCTATTTGTGGCTGCAGGAAACAGCGGGATAATATTTATTAGTTCGTTAAAGTTGAAGAAAAGGCCACATTATGCTCGGCGCTGTGGCTGCTGCTGCGGTTGCTGATGGCATTGTTGTTATTGCTGTTGTTTTAGTGTTGGTTGGAAATAAATATTAATTACTTTTTGAACAAAAGTTGCACTGTGCAGCCGCGAGCTGTGCGAAAAATGAATCTATTTTCGCGCACGTGAAATGCCAGAATAAGAATGGGCAGCAGTTGCCACGTTCTCAACCACGAGTGGGCGCAAATGACTGCCTGGCACTTCAACCCGACCCCACCTGCACGTGCACCAGAACCTGCACTAAGCTCCAACAATGCCCGCTACACTTCCACCTGGTCGTTGATTCATTTGACCCAGCGGCAGTCGACGGTAAAGTCATGTGTGTGAATGCTGTACCGGAAGTTGCCGCCATTTTAATTAAGGTGCAGCAGAGCGTGTTTGTATACAAGCGTGTGTGTGTTCATTTGTATGTGTGCATCAAGTGCGTCTATAATCATGGATCGTGCTGTATTGTCCCCGTGCTAAGGCTGTGCCACAGCCACGGCAATGCGGAAGCTGCGCTTTCGCTTTTATTGCTTTTGTTTTCCCCAGCTGGTTGCATTATAATTACAGATGCTGAGGCTCCGGCTCGTGATCCCGGCGAGAAATCAATTGCAACTGTTGTTTTAAAGCTTGTCGCACAACAAACTCAGCTGCGATTTTGAGTGAACATTTTAAGCGCTGCTGCAAGCTGCTGCAAATTGAAGGCATTTCAATTGAAGGCTGCTGAACGCCAATTTCGTATGCATAAGCAGGAAATCGATTCGAGATGCAAGAGAGAAAGGAAGCCGGGTAGGAAACTCTGAATATTGAGTGCATTAAATAGTGGACTGCTGTTGATTTTAGAAGGAAAAGCTGACTAGAGACTAGAGAGCTATCATAGGATGCGCAGCGGTCTTTTCAATGAACAACTAGAGACTTGATCAATAAGCCAATTTCGATTGGGTATGACGAACTGCACCAACTGACTTTTCTATACAATAAAAACCTGTGTATTGCAATCTCTTCCTCTCCTTCTACCTAATCCGATTGTTTTATTGGATTATACACCCCACAACCTTGTTAAATCGACATACTGCAGCATTAGGCCGCTGCAATAAATACAATATTAGCTCCATAACTATGCTGAAAATGACAACAAACACATTTAAATTGGAATAACCCAGATAATTATTAGTTGCTGCTGCGCATACCCCTGTGGGTATGCAATAGCTGCTGCATTCAGTGGGCAGGCATATCATATGCCTCTGCCACAACCTCAAATTGCCAACTCATTTCAAATGATGACAGCGGCTTGGGTCAGGTTGTGGTCTTGCCAACAGCTGCCTGAAACGTCGCATGCGTTCGTTGTGCAAACGTGGGCCATAATTACGCTCCTGTGGCCATAAATATATATGCACATCTATGTGTGTTTGTGTGCGTGTGTGATTGTGCGAGTGTAATCGTTGCTGAGTAACTGTAACTATGTGTGTGTTGGTGTTCGCCCACAAACATCAATTTCAATTAACCAAAGTGGCCAGTTGACGGACAAACGTTAAATTTTATGCGCAGGGCGTTGCCAGACACTTCACAGGGCTGTCGACATGGCGAAAGCCGCCAAATTACCACAAATTCAAGACAAAGTTGCAGCCGTACGGGCATTGTTGCTGATTCAACAGATACGAGACTCACTCTCCCGCCCCATCTCTCTATAGATACGTGTATATATATAAGTATGTTATGCTTCTTATGGTTGCCCTGTCCGTGGTCATTATGTGTGATATTGATACATGCGGCGAGTGTTTGATTGAATAGGTTTTAGCAGGAGTAGAGCAGGCAGAGTTGCTTACTTGTGGGCGTTGCCGCCCTATTAATGCCTGACTGGGCAGGCAACTAGGCAACCAGCCGAGCAACAGGCCAAGTGCAACTGGCACCAGCCTGACCACCGCGGAGCCACTCTTTGGCTTTTGTAGCTGTCATTTAATCTCGTTAATCTGGCTTTTATCTTGTTAATGCCACGAGACAGGGCGAAGGCAGAGCTATTGTTATTGGCGCCGCTGTTGCTGGCAGCCCCTAAATGTAATCTAATTTGTGTGCAGGCAGCGGTTAATGTATGCCACTGCCACGCCCTTGCTGCCACGCCCACGCAATCATTGTCCCAGCCAGATGCCAGCAGCGCTTTAGTTTCGCTATACTCAACAAAAACTGTAGCACAACGCATTGTTGGGCTCATACACATACACACACGCGCACACATACACGTACACAGCTGTTGTTTCTCTTATTAATTAAGCGCTGAGGGATAATGTGTTTATTTTTACCCCGCCCACAAATGGACATTGCCTAGTGGCTTGGAAACGTGTTGTCCCACTGTTTTCACTGCAGTTGCCGACAGCAACAACTTCGCTACCTATTTCCCCACCCCCGCCACATATGACAAAACTTACCGCATCCTCATGATCGTCCAGCTTGCTGTAGCTGGCGCAATCCTCGCACACACGCTGCTGGCACTCGAAGCACGTCTTGTGGTAGTCGTCCGGCTTGAAGGACTTGAGGCACACCCGGCACGCGCCCGCTCGGCGTCCGGGCTCCTGTTTGGCAGCGGCGCCACCACTGCCACTGCCGCCGGTACTGTTATTGTTGTTGTTCAGATTGCTGCTGGCCTCCTGCTGCTGTTGCTGCTGCTGCTGCTGATAGCTGGGCGAGCCATAGCTGCCGCTGGTGTCCGCATCCGTTGGCACCAGCGAGGGGCGTGGCGACATTTTATTAACTGCAACGAGAGAAAATTGCGCTCAATGAAGTCACCACGAATGCATTGAAAACCTCGACCCCACCCTTCCAAATGGGCGCGACTGGCGCCTTGTGCAAGCAGATTTAATAATTCACTTGTTGCTGGGCAAAATGTGTCCTGATTTCATAATTAATTCATTTGTAAATTGGTAACGTGACAGGCGCAGACGAAAAAGGGCGATAAATAAAATAAATGACTGCGATTAGCGATAGTCAAAGCGGAAATTGCCGACATCGTAGCGACAAGTGGGCGTGGCTCTAAATTGCCAATTAATTGAGGCAAGCGTAGGCGAAGGCGAAAGCCAAGGCAGTTGAAAGCCAAACGGAAAAAGCAATGATTTATGTACATTAATGTGTGCTTGCCTACAAATACACAATTGTATTAATATATACAATTTATGAAATTATTTTTTAATAAATAAAAAAAGTTGTAAGGGTCGTTTGGCTGGTAAAAAGCTCTCAGTGTTCGCCACTTAGGCAGTCATGACATGGACAAGTTTGCTTTGCATTAGATACAGTCGAGAGGCAAGCACAAAGCTTGCTTTGTTTGGCATGTTGCGTATACGCTCAGTTGCACGTGAAGACTTTCCTTTTGCCAGAGGAAACAAAGCTTTTTTTGGGCCAACTGGAACAATGGCAAAAGGTGAATCAACATTTTTGTGACCACTATATAAATTGTTAATTTTGCTTATATATGAACGAAGGATTTAAATTTGTAAGAGAATTAATAAAAAAGCTAACGCTGTTGTGACCAAGTATAATTGGTTTAAAAGGGACCAGTTAAAAATTTCTACAAGCAACACAGAAATAATTTAATAAGCTGCTGGCCAATTCGCTGGTTAATATGGCCAAAAAATGCAGCTATAAAGTGCGCTCAAATGTGCTCTTAAGCACAGTCAATTATGTGGCAATTGGAATCGTGAGTCGAGGTCGTGCACAAGTACATTGGGCAAAATATTTGCACAAATTATGCACACAATAGCAATAACAGCACAAACACTTGAAGCTGTGGACTTGTCTTTATGGTAGGGGTGGAGGAAATCAGCGGGAGGCGAAGTCAAGTAGAGTTGGTTAAATAAACATCATAAAATAACATTTCATTTCGAACTAATAAATCTGCTGTGGACGCAATAAAAGCAGGAAGCCACCGCACAGCCAACTAAAATGCAATAAAATCAAGAAGGAACACTTTTATGTGGCCTAACGAATTATAAATACCCTTACACAGAGGAGCAAACATTCAATAAGAAAAGCGGCTCCTAATCATAATTGTTTTGCGTGTCAAAGAAAATATATAAATATATAAATATTGACTTGCCAATGTTGCCTATTTGAAAGGATGCCACATTTCACGATATGAAATGGGAATACCCGCTGCAAGAGTATGTGTGTGTGCGGTTGCTGGAGCTGCTTTTAGCCATTTATTGACATTGGATTTGTGCTGTGGACACTAGTAAAAAATGTACAGCTCTCGTTGTTTATGGCAGCCATAACAATGACTATAATAATGGCAATGCCAATGACTGGCTAATGCATTTGGCTGACACTGACCCTTGCATAATTCAAGGTGCGCAGCGAGCGTATAAAGCTAAAAGAAAATACTGCGTATACGCAACGTTCGTTGCTTTGTGCAAGGTTAAAATGCCGAGAGCTAATGGGTGAAAATCAGGAGCGGGTTGGTTAGGATTGTGCTAGCTTGGCACATCTCCTGTTTTGGCTCATTGTTGTAACTTGCGTGCACTTTGAGCGCTTACTTAGCTTTGGCCTTTTGTTTACGCGTACGCTGCGTATACGTAATATTTTTTCAGGCAACCGTCAGCTGGCTTTGGCATTGCAAGGGCAAAGTTTTGTGAAAGTTTTGCGAGCAGCTTTATGAGCACTTGCATAAAAATTCATGCCATAAATTCGCATGCACTTACGAAACGCGTTCGCCAATCCGTATCCCAAAACCCAAACCCCAAACCTGGACTCACCTTTGTCTGTCACGGTTAGCAGCGATGAGGAGAGCGTTGCCTTCATCTTGTTTAAAGCGCCAGTGTTTGAGGCGCCACTGCCAGAATCAGTTGCATGCTGATGCCCCTGGTTGGCCTGTTCATCGGTGGCCACCATCTGCGTAAGATGAATAAAGAAAAAAACGTTTTAAGAAGGGAGCTGTAAATATTAACGGCATATTGAGCTGAAAGTTTCATTTGTGGCAGCAACAAAATATTTATAGTTATGTGCACACACTTAAGGCCAAGCAGGGGGTATTGAATCTGTCCGCTTTTAAATGCAATTTCTTGTTGAAATTGAATCGAAATTGAATTCCGGAACAGCTTTATGACTGTTCATTTAACTGTGCGCCAGCTGTTGCTCAGCTGGGCCAACGTATTTGTTAATTTTATTTGAATTTTCTTTTCACTTTTCATGCCTCCTTCCCAGCCCTTGGCTCATCGCATATTTTTATAACGTCTTGCCAGCTCATGCTCATTTCGAGCATCGTCATTCTGATAAACAACGAAAAGGCAGGCAGGTGAAAAAATGCGTTGCGTTTTATTTGTTTTTGTGCTGCTTCTCTTCGTTGTTGTTGTTGTTGTTGTAGCTGCTGGACCGGCCGCGGCATAGGCGCAACAAATTGCCAAGAAATCGTAAAATGCGGCAAGCAATTTTTGTTTAAACTAAAAAAATAAAACGACCGAGTGAGCGGCTTTCGAAAATTGCCGTCATTCTTTTTAATGCACACACATACACTCTAGAGTGCGTGAGCGTGAGCCTCACAATGGGAGAGGGGTGAGAGTGTAATACTAAAATTGAGAAAAACAACAACAAAATGTTAGCTGGTTGGCTGGCAAGGCGACCAAGCGAGCAGCCCCTCCATCTCCCGCCGCAACATAAGTGCTCTGCGTTGTCAGCGTTTTATGAAGTGGAAATTTTCTATTTGCCAAAGCTATGGCGGCGACGAAACCGGAACAAACAGCCGCCTATGTGGGCTATACACAGTCCAGCACACACACCCACACACACTATCTTACTCTCCGTCTCTCTCAGACAGATATGGCGCAAATTACGCTAAGTGCTTTTGGCTGCAACGTTTTTCGTTGCCTACCTTTGGCGGTGCGCCTTGGGAGGAGGGAAGCACCTGCCCTGTACTCAGACTCGGCTAAGCGCTGCCTAGTGTCAGATTATGGTCGCTTTGTGCTCAGCTTGTGCTACATTTTTGATGATGTCATTTCGAAGTCGGCCTCAAGGCAATATTCATGTTGCTCCGGATTTATGTATATGCTTTTCTGTCTGGCCCAGCTAACCAGCTGGCAACCAATCTTGGTCTACTGCATATCCATGCCTTTGCCCTGGCGTTCCATATAATTTATGTACTCGCTGTGGCAAAAACTATTCCGCCACCGTCTCTGTCAGTGTCTGGTGCTGCCGCTTAGCACGTATAATTATGGCCGTGTTAATTTCGTCATTTATTATGAGGTTTTTTTTTAGAGGCGAGCCCTGTCTCAAAATAGTTTCGCTTTTAGTGCCCAAAAATTATGGGCTGCTGTATAGACATTTAAGTGCGGCTGATGCTGCCAAGGACCGCCATAATCCACACAAGCCATATGTGCGTCCTTTATGGCCGTAAAGTACGCTACATAAAATGCAAGTCAATATGTAATAAGAGAGCAGCAGCAGGGTTGAGGTGGTTGCAAACGGAGCAGTGGCTTTTCGCGTTGTGATTGAAAGCGCACGAATTGCATCTGACTGCACATGAAAATCAATAAAAAGCAAAATGAAAGCATCTATCAAAACGTACAACGACTATGCAATACACTAACAAATTGAGCTAGACATAAAGTCAGCTGCTGATTGGCATTGCTGTCAGTATAATAAAGATGTTTATTTGGATAAATATGCAAAAGCTTCAGCGAGCATAGCATGCTTTTAGGGGCGGCTGATTTGCTTGCAGCACACGGGTAAATGTAAATAACAGAGCCAAATTTTAGACGTCATGTGGCTTACAGGCAACACTCGCATTAAGCCGAATGTGAGTGTGGGTGTGTTCATTGCAGTGAAAAACCACAAACAACTGTCAGCCACAAACTGCAGGCAGCTACTTAAATTCTGGTCTGATATGGTGTGTATGTGTTCGTGTTCGGGTGTGTGTTTGCTAGTTGATAAAGTTCAGGAAAACTATTAAGAAAATTACAGCACATAATTTACAACAGGCGCTTGCCTGCATTTAAGCTTTTCTCACATTTTTAATCTCATATTCTTCCTCTTTTTCTCTCTCACTCTCCTGCTCTCTGTTTGCAACTCATTTACGCCCCACTGATTGCCTTTGAAGTTTGTGGCTGTTTTTTGAGCGCTTTTTCTTTGTTTTAGGAAAAGGAGAGACAGGGTAGCATGAAATTTATGTAAGGCATTTAATGGGCAAAATAAATAGCAAAACTTTGGGCAATCCTTTCATTTATATTTATTTCTTTTTGTAAGGATCTGCTGACAGTGACATTGCTTAACTGTCATCGGCACATCATATTTTCCTGAGTTGGGTGGTATTCTGCTTTGATTTTGTGCTTCATTTGGTATAATCAAAGTTTTTCTGCTCAGACAACCTAAGGAAACATTTCATCACGCACAACCTGAGACATTTCCTTGTTTCAGTTTACTTTTACTTAAATTTTCTTTTACATTCTGCTTCTCATCAACTTTTCCAAAGAATTTTGGGGCTAAATAATTTCAGCGGAATTTACACTTTCGCTTTGGTTGGGTTTCTTGGCTTTTTTTTGCATGTCCTTTGTCTGTGTTTTTAAAGTATTATTTTTGGCTGAGCACATGTCTAATTTTATGCCAAAAAAAAGGCAAACGACGCAACCTTCGGGCAGGTGCTTAAATACAATTGAATCGCTTTGATTGCTGCCCCTTTCATTTATTTATTTTTGATAATTTTCGTGTTTTTCTAGCTAGGTGAAAAAAAATATCAATAACAAAATAAATGCAGTCAAGCGTCCAAAGCATTTAGCGGACTTTTTAATTAAAAAGTTTTGTTTGTATATTGTTTTTTCTCATTCACCCTATTTCCTTCTCTCCCCTTGCGATTTAGCTTTGTTTGCCATTGTTGATCCCCGTTTGAAAAAGGCTTAAAATCATTGGGTGCCCACGCAGAGGAAGCTGATATACCTTTAAATAAGTGCAGTTGGCTTGTGAATTTTAATTTGGTCCTCAATTCATTTGTTTTCACTGCATTCCAAACAGCAAATGCTCATTAAGTTTTCCGTGAAAGCGAAAAAAAATAATTAAAAATCAATACACTTTGCGAGAGTGAAAAAGAAATTAAGGCATAAATTACGTTAGCAACTGGTTCAAAGAGAGTGTGAAAATATATATCTGAAATTTTATCACTGAGTATTCCGTTGTTCTAGTGTTAACAGAAAGTTTGGCGTTATCAATTGAAAAAGATCTTAACCATTTTCTTTAAACAGACAGATATTGTACAGAAGAAATATACCCTGCCCCTTTGTGGTTAACACATAACAACTTAATAAGAAGTGGAAAGCGAATTACGGCAAGTGTAATATTGAAAATGTTGTCAGTTTCGGTCTCGCTTACCTTTTTCATGAAAGTCATCACATTTGTGGGCAACATTTTGTCAGTGTTGTCGTCCTTGCGCGTCCTTTTTGTTTGTATTTAAAGTGCAATTAATCACGCATACGCCGTGTTGGTCGTGTGTCTGCTGGAATTTATGCTGCTGCGGCTTTTGTTTTGTTTGCGCGTGAGTTTCGTTTTATGCTGCCTTTTTCGTTTGTTTTGCGCTCTTAAGCGGCTTTAAGTCATTTTTGTATTTGCTGCATTGCTGTTGTAGTTGTTGTTGCTGTTCATTCTGTGTGCGCTTCAATTTGATTGAAAACAAATGGCCATTTTTCATGCGCCATGTAAATAGTCATTGACATTGTATATCGAAATCGTTCTTATAGCGTGTGCAACATGGTCTCACGAACTACATGTTGCTCCTCAGCTCCGCGTGATTGATTTATGTGTAGTACAGCGCTTATAGCCCCATGGCATCAATGGGTTTAAAAGCCAACTCAACGTTGTTGTTGCCGCTCGCCTTTAATTTACATTGGTTTTAATTTACAGCGACTGCAATAATGGGAAAAATGGTTAGGGGCTATAATTAGTTATTTAATATAGGCTGAAAAGTTGCAGGAATTGTTTTAAGTGCAAGTCATGCCCAAATCCCCGCAGGGCTTACACAGTACTTAAATTTTTGGCCCGCCATAATTTTTGCTAGCGATAAGCATCAACAGCATTTGGGTTGCCTTCACACACACTCACTCACTCACAAACACACTTCCACACACACACATACACACTCTTGCCTGACATGGCGCTGAAAAGTCGAGCGGCAAAAGTTTATAAGGCGGAAAATAATGTGTTGCGCTGCATGCAAAGTACTTAAGGGTACTGTGAATTGTGGGCGTGGTGGCGGCGCGATAAACTGACCATTATAATGGCTGCTGCTAGAGCTTACAACTAGGTTAGGCAGTCGCTTTAAGTCGCGTGTAAAAATAAACTTATATGTTAGCTATAAAAAAAAATATGTATATAGGTACGCAAATAGCAACATTCTAAGAAAACAAAATTGTATTTCGTCTCCATACTTTGAGCTAGTAAAAAGCTTAAGGCATTTATTTCTTTGTCTTACCTTAAAAATAAATGCCTGAATACGTGCTTTCGTGCACAGCACTTAGGTGCTTAAAAGCATCGACTAGTATCGAGTTGCGTTACTTACTTGGCACCTGCCACTTCGCCAACCCTCCCACTCAGTCGCCTTAAAGCCTTCAACTTTAAGTTGTGTCTCTTGTTTTGCTTATGTCAGTCATTGTCATCAGTTTTCTCTGTTGGCGCAAATCCTTGGGTGTACTCGTAAGCTGCTCACAGCCATTCACAACTCTTGCGCTTTGTACAGCTTATGGTACATTCACAGCAAATCTTGTTGCCCTTCTTTTGCCTTCCTTTGACTAAGGAATAGTAGCCGCACTTAGCAGCGCAGTTCCCCCTTTTTATACTCTGTATATATTACAATTGGGCATACATAAGAAAAAGTTGAGGAAATCAATTCAGAATATAAACTCTTCATTGGGCTGCAAATTCAAAACCTATCCTTGAATACACATATATTTAATTTTTGCCTGCCCGTTCTAATGAAAATATTGTCAACCATCAATATTTTCATATAGAAATAGCGGGCTATATGGTTGGTACCCACGTAATTTTTATGTGTGGATCTCCTTCCAAAGTTTTTCACTAAGAACCAAAAAGGTTTGTGTTTTGGGCAATCGGTTTGGTTTCTGGCTTAGTTTATAGTTAAAACTAAAAGTGATTTACGCTATTTTATATATATTAATTAGACTAATTTATTTGTTTATATACAAAGACATATACTTAAAAATTTATAAAGGTTCAGAGGTAATAAGCACAAAAGTTATAAATTATGCAGCTGTTTGTTATTCATAGGGTATCTTTTAGTCAATCACTGTTGAGTTTAGCGTTTTTTCTTGTTCTTGCTCCGGCTTTGGTTTGGCTGCAGCATTATTAAATCAAATGACCCACATAGCAATTGAATCGCTCGATTTGCAGTCAATATACGATCTGTGCGAGCACTTGCAACATTTGCAATTCCCATATCTAGTTGCTGCTACAAAAATTAAAGACAGTGTTCAACTATTTCACATGGTCCGAAAGTTTTCGAACTTTGCGTAAAAAGAAATTGGCAAAAGAAATTTCATTTCAATGGTCTGTTCATTGTTGGGTTATTTCTATCGTTGGGCTCTTCTTGATATTTGTGTGCACATTACAAAAGTTCATAAAAAGCCATCGAAGCGCAGTTTGGAAAGTTGGCCGGCAACTGGCGGACATCCAGAGATGGCGCTGAGATATTCATGGGAATTGGTTGGGGCCTGACATTGAAAGTATTTACGCTAAATGAAATTTTTGACTTGCTAAATGAGTTGAGTTTGCTTAACTTTATAAATGGAATTTGGCAAATAAGAAATGCAGAAAAATTAGTTGAAGCTGAAGGCTGTCAACATGCCAGCAACAGGACGGAGCTACATGACACGGCAATGAGACTGAGGAAGATAAATATAAATCAGGACGCGCTGCAATATGCACGATTCGGACGATTTTCGTGGGCGTTTGCTTCCAGAATGTAAAGCAAACTGTTACAAGTTACAAGTGTTTGCATGCCACGCCCATTCGCCCATCACGATGAGTATGAGGATGAGGATGTTGGAGAAGGCGCTGACCTGCCTGCCCCCGATGCTGCTTACGCGAGCTTGGCGCGCCAGGATGTGCTCATAAATTGTAACTTTGGCTGTTGCTGCTGCTGCTGGCTGTAGGCAACAAGCATGAAATCACATGAACACACATACACACAGGGCGAGGTCTGGCAAAGTTCCAGCTGGTATGGTTGGCACATAGTTAATTAGCGCGAAATTGGCCAAACGAGCCGGCAGCTGTTCACGCTGGAGGCCTCCAGACCCATAACCAACATCAACACCAACACCAACTCAACCTTCGCCAGTTTCGCCCTTTGCATGCTAATCGGTAACTGATCAGGATAGCCAATGGCGTTAAAGGTCAATATGTATGTGGCAATAATGCGTGCATTAGGCAAAATTAAACAAGATTTATCACACACACAAAACGCAGAAGGACATAGTCCTGAAATTGTCACGCACACGCGTACGAAATCGAAATTGAAACGTTCGATAAATAAATACAAGCAAACAGGTTATTTTTTATTGTTGTTCCTGTTGTTGTTGTTGTTGGGTTTGTGCGTGCCACACGTCAATGGAGTGTAGAAAGTGAATTGTAATTCAGAATTCCGGAACGTGCATGTGACACAAATTAACTGTTCAGCAGCATGCTATAATAAATGGCCAGCACGCAGTCCAGATGAAATTGTATTGGACCAAATGAAGCATGAAGAAAAACTCAAATGGAACTGAGCAGCCACCAGCCCCAGGACCTCGACAGGAGTCGAACAGCAGCATCAGCAGCAGCTCAAATTGCAGTTGAGAAATCGCAGCGCAGTTCATAAATAAAGTGGCCAGCAGCAGGGTGCAAGTGCCAAGCTGCGGGTGAGAGGGCTGGGAAGCAGCCACAGCCTCATGAATGCCATGAATGAAGCGCTGTCAACAATGCCAAGCAACTAGAGGGGGACTGCGTACACAATTGAGATAGAGAACGGAGAGATTGGGGATTGCAACTGCAACTAGTTGCCTGTTGTTTGGCTTGTTAGCGCTGCAAATGCTGCTGCATGGAAGCTGTTGCGGTCAGGACTTTGGCCAGCAACAAGATAAGATAAATGTTAAATTTGCACCACATCTCAGTCAAGTTTTATGAACAGTGGCAACTATGAGAGCTGAGAGTAGCTGCTTTGCAGTAAATCAAATAATGTGACGTTCAAAGCTGATCAAAATTAGTCCATAAATAAAGAATTGATTGAAGAGCAAATTTTATTTTGCCATAAATATATTATTACGTTAGACAAATTGTATGCTTTATTCAGTATGGATTAGATTGGCCACTAACTATTAAGCGTAATTGTACTCAGTAGCATACGCTTTGGCATTGAAGTCGAGATCCTTGTTATATGTTATATACGACTGTCTCAAATTGTTTTCAGGCTGATATGGGTATCAGTAAAATGAGGGCAGTCGTATTGCCTTCTATCCTTCTACCAAAAAAGGCATTTAAGTCATTGGGAAACAAGGGTATAATATAAACGAGAAGAATATATAAAGGCCTAACTCTGCTTTGCAGGCATATTTCGAAGTATTAATTTACGTTGAATATTACTTAACTATGTCAATGCAAATTACAAATATAAATTCACCTAATCCGCTTAAATAATAATAATAATAAACTTTCTAATAAAAAGGAATATAGATTAGTTTTGCCATTATATAAAGACCTTTAAATAGATTGCCTAACAAGTGAACAAGCGCACATAATAACCATCAATTTGCAGTCCACAGCATTACGCACAGCCACACATATGTGCTAGCCAGTATCATTGTTGAAGCTTTTAGCACTCATGCATACATACACACACACATAGGCAAGCGACACGGCCATTATTGTCTAACAGGATTTTTAATGAACCTGAAAGTGCGGCAAGGTGGGTTGGAACGAGGCAAGGCATTTGCTTTTAGCTAGTGAAGCGTAAGCTGGACTCATTGTCAACGCCGTTTGCCTAATTGACAGCGGCCGGTTTACACGTGGCGGCTGCGTAATGCAGCATCAACTGGCAGCAGGCAGCAGTCAGCACTTAGAGCTTGAATCTAAGTACGAATTTAAACAAATTAAATTAAACATTTAATTGCACAAAGACAACAACAATGCGGCAGGAGTACCAGGGTAGCGATGGCTTGGTCTTACAGATTGGTGTTTGAGTCGCAGCAGCTGGCACTTGGCATTGGTCATGCGAGGCACGTAGATGCCATCCAAATGAAATGGAACTATGCCCCACAGGGGACGTCGGCGCGGAAGTCAGGGCAGTGGCTGACTGTTGACAACAACATTTTTGGCTGAGACTGTAGCAAACAAACGTTTAAACTGGTTTTTGTTAAGCGGGGGTGGGCCGAGGCATTTGCCTAAACTCAAACTCGAACTCAAACTCAATTATTCAAATGCCATGATGCGAGTGCTGTAACTGCGTAGGCGTGGCACATGTACGGCGGCCATGCGCTGATACCCGCAATTTGGCATTTAATCAACATGCTCAGAGACAGAAAATACTCAGCCCGAAAGCTATTCTGGCAACGTGCTCCATTGAGAATCATGGGTTTTCTGCCACAAGTTCATGTATTTGCTGCGGTCTGGCCCAACAGTTGTCACTTGTTGCGCTCTGTTGGTCGTCGTGTTGTTGATTTTGCTGTTGTCGCTTTCATCTTAATTGAAATCAAATCAAAGTGATTTCACTCTCAGAATGTAATTGTGTGGCTTGCTGCGTGCTTTTGTTTTCCGCAATTTCGATCTTTACTGTTGTTGCCATTTTCGTAATTTATTGGCTTACATTTTTTGGCCGGATTTGTCAGTCGGTCTGCTAATGATTTCCTATTGTTCCTTGTGGACGATATATAAATTTCCAATTTTACACTAAATTTACTTGTATTCTGTTTGTTTGCTCCCTGCTGTGCTGTGCTGTTGTTTTTCATGGCTTATTGTATGTTGAATTATTTATTCCGAAAATCGTATTTCTTGTCACATGCACGAGGGAATTGTGCTTACAGTTCACCTGCAACTGGGTTATGTGTACTTATTAGATTAAATAGATTACGCATAGTGTACGAACAGATCAGAGCAGTCTTTATATTTTTATTATTACTTACTATCTTATGTTGTGAAAAGTAACAGAAAATTAGCAAAAATAAAAGTAACTTAAACCATAAAAAAAAAAAAAAAAAAAAAAAAAAAAAAACTATCTTATGTGTGACATAGCATAAGGGAGTTGTGAATTCTGCATCATTTATACGCACCGTTAACACGTAGCAAAACTGCAGCATTAGGCGAAACTTCACTTAGCACACATAATAATACGCAACGTTTACGGCTAGGTACACCGAAAAGCGCCAAGGACCTATTACGCATACGCAGCGTGGCACATAAAATATTTGAAGTCACGCGTCGCGACGCCATAAAAGGAAATCAACTGAATATGGGCAATATAAAAAGGAGTGGAGCTCATTAAGGCCGGGGCAGAATGTGCAATGCGGTTGGCCATTTGCCTCCATGACGGCACGCAACAACAAACCAAGCGAACTCAGCTGTTGTCCTCAAGGACTTCCTGATGTGTGTGTATGTGAGAAGGTGTGTGCGTGGCAGCCTCGCATTTATGAAGTCGCGCCATGAACGCACATTAGCAATGCGTGAAACTCAACACACTGAGGTAATATTGGGCTGCTGGACAGAAATTAGTTTTGGCATTTTATCTGGCCAAATTCAGAAGTGCGGCGAAATGCATAAATTTAGATTTATTTGATTTAATTAAGTAAAACTGATGCCACATAAATAAAGCACGTCTGACCTAGCAAATTAAATCAAATTGCTAAAGACCTAGGACAAAAGCAAAAAAAAAAAAAAATAAGGGCCCAGAAAATCGCGTAAAGGGTTTAATAGCAGCCAAGTGCTGGAATTTCAGCGAAAACAAAGTGACCGCAATTAATTAGACACAAGGATATGGAAGCTTGCGGCGGCGGCAATTAAATGAATGATAAGGCTACGCAAGTACTGGAAGAAGTAAAAGCTTGTTGCGAAACTTTGAAAAGAGAAGAGGATACATGTTTGCACGCATCAAAATGCATAATTTTTGGAATTAAATGTTTAATTGAGAGCAATACAGCATGAAAAGCGCATTAAATATTGAAGCTTTTGAATTTTTATTGTGGTTTCATATATGCAAGCGGCGATTGCCAATGTCAGTGTCAATGTCAATGCCAATCTCAATGTCAGTGTCAAACTGTCGTCCAATGAAACAAGCTAACAAAGTTAGGCAGGCTGGTGTTTGGTAGCTCAACGGCCGCATGAACTTTTGCAGCGCAACTAATGTGAATTCAATGTCAAATTCCTCGGGTAAGGTCGACCTTCTAAAAGTCAGTTGTGCCAGCTCGTCAGTTTTCAAAACCAAAGTCAATTAAAACGATGAGAGACAACTAAATAATTTTTGCATTAATATGCAGAAGAGCTGATATATATGCAAATGAAGGACGCTGCAGCTTAGCTTCTTGCAGAGTGTGTCTCTTAGGTAGCTTAATAAATATCTGAATTTTGAACACAGTGTGCATCAGCTATAAAAGTGAAATTTATTTATTTATGCTAAATCATAGTTTTTTTGAGCACTCTACACTTAAATATTTTTAATGTAAAAGATATTACTTATTCGCTGAATTATCACTCAAGTGTAACGTTTGGAAAAATGTTTATTATAAAATTGTAAATTGTTTAATCGCGTTCCATAGACAAGCAAAGTGCACTACATTAACTTGCAGAGCAATTCACATATCTGTGGTTCTATCTAGACATCTGTCTATTCTCGTATGCACACAATTGCTTGTGTGTGTGTGCGTGTGTGTGTGTGTGTGTGTGTACGAGCACATACTTTCACTTGCCCTCAATTCTCATGGCGTGACTTTTTGTCTCCCTTGTGACGGACGAAGTCGCATCCTTGTCTTCCGCCTTTGGCCTCAGTCGCTGTTGTCATTATTGTTATTACAATTTCATTGTTGTTGTTAAAACTGTTTTGCTCTGCTTACTTATCGTACACATTGCAACGCCACACATGCATCGTCTGGCATGTCGTCTGACTATCTGTGTGCATGAGCGCGTGTGTGTGTCTCCACTCGGTGTCTCTTGGTGCAACTTTTTTTAAGCATTTGCCACAGTAAATGCTCGAGCGTATAAATTGCATTTTATTTGTGTTGCATTTTTTCTATTCATACCCTGTAACCAACAAAGATGCGGTAGTAAAACTAATACTTCGATATGTAACAAGCATCAGGCCTTGCCTCTGAATCTATGTATTATTTATAATCATATATTAACAAAAAAGCTAAGAACATTCAACATTATATTTTCGCGACAGCAATGCATAACAGATGGACTCCAAGGGTATCTTTAGTCGAATCATTGCGTGCTAGGATTTGTCACTTGTTATTTATTGTTACTCATGCAATATTTAACAAGGGCTTGTATTGTTTGCACTATTTATTTGCCGCCTGGGTGCAAGCATTTGAAGGTCAAATGCCATATGCAGCTGCCTGACAGACAGCTTGACAGACACACAAACTAACAGACAGCCAGTCAGCTAAATGCTCATAGGTTTTATTGTGTTGGCCGCAGATTTTGACTTGTGCTATTTACACGCGCATTACCCTCGGGCCATTGCCTTGAAATCCTTTACATTATTTTTTTGCTCCCTGCCGTTTGCCAGCTGTCAGTTTCTCTTTGATTTAATCATTAAATACATGTAATCCACAGTGCTCTCATAAATAATGCGAGCAGAATTGAACATTTATGCCCCTTATTTTCATTGTTGTACGTTGTGAATAAAATTAATTGCTCTGTAACCAACTGATTGTCAGTTTAGACAAGCGACAAGAAGTTACATTTTAATTAAAAATGATGTTGAAATGCATTTTTTTGCAGCTAATTGCAATTGCAGCTAATATAATTGCTGCCAAAATTTACATCAATTTTGCATATATTAAATTTTATGTATACAAATGGATGGACATATGTGTTGATGTTGTGACGCCATTAAAATCAACATCTATCATCATAATTCATAATTTTATTAACAGACAAAAGCATGCATAGAACAGATTGCTTTTGATGTTGTTGCTGCACAGCGTGGCGTATACGCATTATGTGGAGCTACACACATGTTGCGCATATGCCGCATGTGACGGCTTCAAGTGACTTTGGCAAATCATTTTCTTGTTAATGCATTTAACATGGTTATTAATCGAGCACAGACATACACACAAAAACACACTCTGCAAACATATAATCAGACACAGATATACGCACAGAGTAGAACCGAAGTCATTCTGTTATTGAATCCGGCAGTTTGAATGGATCCGCAGGCATTGGCAATGGAGAAGCAATAATTGTTGTGGTTTGCCTTGGCAGCAGCCACATAGATGATGCCATTACTCAACCGCATTTGCCTTGGTAAGCAACTTACTGGCTGTCTTTGGACGGGCTGGCATGTCGGCTTGTGGCTTCCTAACAGCCCCGCAGCAGGCGATTCATGTTGTTCAAGGCTTCGCAAGCTCAGCCCAGGCTAAGCCCAACATTTATAATGTATACACAGCAACACAATCACACACAATATATATGTATATATGTTTATACATATATATATATATATATATATATATATATAAATATCTGTATGTATATAAGTAGGTTTAGTATATAATCAGTAATGGAGGCTGGGATTTACCTTCCCTATAAGATTGTGCGTACAAATTACCTGTGCGATTTGATTTCATTTCCTTTTTGTGGGAGCTGCTGCCATTATCAAGCTGCTCGATTTGTTTCGTATATTTGTTGGTCTGATTCGGCTTCGGGAATTATATTTACGTGGTTTCTTCTAGACGCACTGCAGATGAAAAGTGTGTATAGAACTGATTGAGTATGGGCTGAGCACGGCACGGTATTCGACAGCTGTCGAATTTATAATGTGGCATATAAATCAAATAAAAGGTGCGATGAAGCATAAATCACTTAAACCAAATTTCATTTGCTGCATAGTTGAAATTTGGCAAAAACAAAACCAACCAACCGAGAGAATTGCAAGAATTTAGCAAAGGCGAATTTACTTTAATTAAACCAAATGCATTACAGATTAATTGAAATAGTTTTAAGCATATCTCAATATTTGCAAAAATATTTCCGGCTCGCAAACTAAAGACACATATAAAATGAGGGGAGCACTTGATTGCCAAAACTTTAATGCATATTTTCCTACATTGCGAAATTAATGCAAAATGTGATAAAAATTAACTTTACAAATGTGTAAATATTTTTGAGTGCGTCAAATATTTGAATTCATTATTAAGCTCAAAGCCAAAATGTTATTGGCTTTATATATAACAAATGCTTGAACTTGTGTTTAAGTGCTGCGAAACTGTGAAAAGCAATTTAAATATGCTTTCAGTTGGCACAAATTATCAGCATATCAGTCTAAGTGTCTACTAAGTCCCCCGAAAGTTCGCACTAAGTCATATTCTACAAGGAAAATATATTTGCATCGTTAATTTCTTGGATGACTGGGAAAAGTTTTCGGTGCCTTGGCATTTGCGGCTGTTGCCGTTACTCTCATAATTATCAAAGTTGGTCAACTGGGCTGCTCTGGGGCAGCTTTGGAGCTGCTGGGGCTGCGGTCGAGCCCCATTGGGCATAAGCGCTGACAATGAAGCGTCCGCCCACAATGCCTTCAAGTATGCACTTCAATTACTAAGCGAGGGTTTCCAGTTTGTATTGTGCGAGGCAACTAATGATAGTGTTGGCATAATTTTGAGCCCAGGACATGCTCATAATTGTGCCAAGTGCCGTTTCCCAAGTTGTGCCGCAAAAGTTTTTCGGCAGCGCTACAAAAGTTGATTTAAATTAGTAAATTAGAAAAAGCCTAACAGCTGCGCGTCGCCAGCCGCAATGTAAAGTCACTTGACGTTGGCGGAAGTTGTCGTCAATGTCAATAGCGGCAGCAGCAGCAGCAGCAGCAACAGCACCACCAACAGCAGTTTGAACGTTTTCGTCCTTGCTAAATTGCACACACAAAAACAGGAGCATAAATTACACAAAGGCAATGGAAAGTTTTGTACCAAAGTCTGAAGTTTCATCATGTCGAAGACGCTCCAAGTCCAAGTCCATTTTCAACAGCATCAAAGTCGTTGAAGCACATAAGTTGGAACTTTGGCCAACATGTCTAAACGTATGCATAGCCAGGCCCAAAAATTATGAAGCACCGCCAGACAGACAGTCAGATAGTCAGGCTTGCCCGACAGCCGGAGAGGCTCCCTGTACGTGCTAGTCAGATACAAGAGTTAAAGTTAACTCTGTCCAAAGTCCACGTAGGCACTTTACTTCTACATGAACTTGTTTTTGTTCAATCAACAATAAAGCTATATAGCTATAGAGCTATAGCGGTAGCTATAGCTATAGCCAAATGTATCTATAGCAGTGTATTGTTCGTTGTTGTAGTTGTTGTTGTCACTCAGTTGTTTGCCTAAGCTCAGCGAAGTTTGCCCAAGATATTTGCGCCTGATATGCGTCACAGCGATTCGGGTTGAGCCTTCGTTGAGGCTTTGTGTGTGGACGTGGCAGTGCCTGTGCTTATATACTTGACTATGGCTGTATCACTTATGTAGACTATGCGATTACTTTGCACTAATAGAGTAATAACCGAAGCACAACCTTTTGAATTACACAAACAATACATGTATTTGTTTTGCATTTCGCCTAATGAGCTGCCTCTGATGCCAGCGTTGGCATTGCCTGCTGTTTCCTAGAAGCGGAAGTAACCCAGAGACACGTGCGCACTGAGATTCATCAAAAAATAACAAAAGCATGTTACGAGAGAGATACATGACAAGAGGAAGCTGTGACTCGCTAGGCACGAGTGATCCATTTATGTGCCTGAATATTTTAATATGAAAATTTCATGCTTCCTGCTGCCAAATTAATGCGCACCCCGGCAGCACAATAAAAAAGTCTGATTTTTTCGGCGAGACAAAGTTATAAAATGCTTGAAAATTTTACGCTTTCCCAGCCATAACTGAAAAAGCGCGTGATGGCACAAAAGTTTTTAATCTAATGATGAGTTATTAGCAGAGAGGGTGCGGGGTAAAGAGCATGCTGCAGCTGCAGCAAGCGATATGCCGCATAGTGTGCCATAAAGTGTTGCACAAAAGCGAATTTGACTGCCGCCCGCATTTTTTCCGCCTCTTTTTAAGCCTTTACGATTTGATTGCCTGCGAAAAAACTTGATTCGCGAACCCTTTTTTTTGACCATGAGCCTTGGCCAGTTTTTGTGGCACTCATATTCCAGGCAGCGAGGCGTGCATCCTTTTTTGCCTGGTCCTTTTTGCCGCCGGGTGTGGGCGCAACTGCTGTGCGCTGAAAGCAAGCTTCACAAATGATTTCACATTTTTGCATAAATAAATGTCAAGTGTGCGTCGAGGCGCGCTGAGAGTTGTTGACAGCTTTCTAATAAACCCAGTGAAAAAAGGATAATCATACAGGCCCCAGCATAATCAACAAGTAGATGTGTATCTCTATATGCGCGACTGTGTGTGTGTGCGGGTGGGTGTGGACATCCCTGTGTGTGTGGGTCTGGGTGGCGTCCACTTTAGCTTAGCAATAATAATAATAACCTTGGCTGCCATGACGCCTCGTATTTTTCAATGTGGCTCTACAAGAGCTTGGAAAAACGAGACTTTTCTCATATATGAAAATGACAATTTCCATTGCCACTACAAAGGCACTTGCTCAGCTACAGGGCTTGGTGGAAGGGCGATAACTCTCCCTTCCTCTCTTTCTTGCTATCATTATATCTATCTCACTCTATATCTGCCGGCCTTCATGGCTGCGTGGGTTCCTTGGTTATTTTAGAATTGCCTGGCAACGGCGTTGGCAATTTTAATAATGTTTACTTAAGGCGCAGCAGCCTATCCTGTGCATGTGTGTGTAAATAAATAAAGCAGCAGTCAGCAGCAGCAGCAGCCAAGTTTAGCACAAAGGCGCCACAAAGCAAGTGTAGCATACTTATGCGGGCTAGACAAGGGCTTGCAACCTGATGTGCAGCGAGGCATGCCAAATGACAGCTGCTTATATTGTATATAATAAATGGCACCAGCTCAACAATCTGCCTTCAAAATGCACCCAAGAATTGCAACCCAAAGTGACACTTTACTCAGGACAAAGCATGCGGCATCTGCAAATCTCCCCTGCTTTCTTCTCTCAGCTTTTGCCATGGCAATCGCTGCTGCTGCGGCTATGAAAACCATAATTTATAGCACTAGACTAGGTTTGTGCTGGTGCTAGTGCGGTGCGTCCAAAAGTCATAATAAACCTTTCTAAAATTTATATAAATATCATTTCTAAGCTGCAGCTGTTGCCTAATGAGCGGATTAAGTGGCCTGCCACGAACTGCTTGCCTGGCAGCCAAGAGCCATGAGCTATGCCGACTGCAATGGGGCGCTTCCTTTGCCAGTTCCTGTTCCGGTTTCCGGGCAACCCTTTTGTTGAGTATAGCCAAGGCAATCTAAAATGCTGCCAACGTCAATAGATCTCAGGATTTCTCTGACTTTAAGTTCGGTTTCGTTAACCTTGTGCACACGTAATGTGCATTGCCCATTGCTGCCATGTCCTGGTAGGGCATTACTTATACATACAACAAGGCGATGGTCGAATAAACCAAATAAAAATAAGTACAACACATGTAGAGGGACTAAGCGAAACAAAGCAGCAACCATTTCTTTTCTAGTCCCTACATCGAAACCTAGCGCATTTGGCACGCATGCTGCCAGCAAAGTCCTGGCTCCTTTGTTTGGCAAAGGATTTACTTGCTGAAGAGCGTAAAACAAAAACAAAATAAAAAAGAAAAAACAAGAATATGTATGGTTGTTCAGGCGTTTATATTGGAAAATATTGATTTACCGGCTATCAAAGACAGCTGCGACACGTTGAATTTGTATGTGCCACACCCACTGCAACGTGGTACATGCTTTGCCTTTATGCCACCAAATCCAAACACATAAACGCAATAATCAATAAAGATTTGCCGAAGCTTACGCTGCCTCCACTGAGTGCACATACTGCCAATGGAGACTGTAAATGCGAAACGTGCGACTCCAACTGAGATTGACGTTTTGCGGCACGTCATGTGGCGTCACAAAGTAATGCTCAACAAGTGCAGTTAAGGCCACATCATTAACATTTGGCCGCACACTCAATGTCAAGGCAACCGAGCCAACTATATGCCCAGTTATCTCAGGTGCTAGTTATATACTTGTTATGGTTATGCACATGTCTGTCTGCCGGCTCTCATGCGTGTGGCAGCAATTACGCAAATGTTGCAATGACGCGCGTTTCCTTAGGCGTAGCAGCAGAGCATGATAAACGGTTGCTAGGCATGGTTTAAGTTTACTTTAAGGTTGGCTGTATGCATTTCTATAGTAGAAATTCATAGGGAAACGGAAAGTAATAAGTAATAAGTACGTATTTTGATTCTATCAAAATGTCCAGTATATATTTATTTTACTACGGATTAGTTATCACTTAGCCCACAGCTGTTTAGAAAGCATGAAAATCATATATTGCGCATTGTCTATTCGTTCAGTTAGCAGTCTCTTTGCACTCTTTACGGCCCCCTTGGCTGTTTGGGCCACCTTCTGATACTTGGGCATGGTAAAGTATTTTTAGCCATGCTTATAATTCACGAAGCTGCCTTCGCAGAGAGTGTATTCACATTGACTTAATAAGTTGACAGCAGACAGCAGCAGTCAGTCAGCGCCACACTTACACTCACGCGCAAATATGTACACTGACTCACGCTCACGATCACGTTGTTTGTCTAGTGCTACTGGCTG